ACCTACCAATGTTTCTTCCCATAAACTCTTCTAGAGTCCTTTCTGGCGTTCTGAAATAGGGCTGGTTTTGAATTTGATCCAGGACTTTGGGAATTGGGATCCGGAACACGGTTGTTACTGCTTGTGTGGCCCTTAGTTCTGCCTCTTGCCTGTTCATTCCATTGTTACCTCGGCCTCGCTTCGGTGAGCCGTTCCCTTTCTCTTGTTTTATCTCCCTATTTGCCGATGTGTCTTCTTCGGCTCCGGCATACTTCTCGATTTTTGGCAAAGTTTTTGCCAAAGATTTCCGTGGCGGACAATTGTCTTTTAAGCCATTCTTGAATGATACGACCGCTACTTCTTGATTACATTCTGGTATTCGGTTGAATACCTCATAGTATCTTTTTGCATAGGCCCTAAGGCCTTCATCCTTACTGATCCTCAAGGTCATCAATGCGTCCACCCTTAATGGCTGTAGCTTATTTGTCACGAACCGGGCCACAAACATCTCGACCAGGCCTTCCTAAGTCTTCACGCTTCCCTTCGGTAGTTTATGGAACCAATCTGATGCAATCTCCCCGAAGGATGAGGGGAATACTTTGCAGAACAATGGCTCGTTCCCACTATACAATGCCATTAAGTTCAAATATAGTCCGACGTGGAAGTTGGGGTCTGACTTGCCGTCGTATATTTGAAACCTCGGCATACTGAATCTCTTTGGTGCCTCGAACCTGTCCAATTCCACCGAGAATGGTGTCCTCGGCTTATCTGGGGATGTTACCTCGGCTTCGGCATTCTGCTGTTTCCTCTTGAGGTAATCTCTTAAGTCTTCTTTGCTTCGCCCAGGAGCTCGGCTATCTTTCGACTTCAGTCTCTTTGGTATACTACTCTCGGCCTCGTGGTGAGCCCTTTTCGACCCTTCTCCATGAGTTGTGTCGAAGCATAGTGCCTGCCCCTGAACATGCCGATGTCCTCTGGGGTCTGCCTCCTTTGCGTGTTGCGTCCTTCGTGATTCTTCTCTTCTTGGCTCCCTTCGTCCGACCTCTCTGGAAGGTCGGTGAGAATGTCTTTCGCTCCCGTTGTGCTGGAGGGCTTCTGGAATTGCTTTCTGTCCTTACTTCTGCGCATTGGCTGCTGGCATCGGCGTGTCTTGCAGCGGGTATGGTAGCTACATGACGTTATTTTGCATCATAAAGTTGACGATCGATTGCAGGTCTGTCAACTTATTTGCCATCTCTTTTACCTCTTCGTCCCTCTGCAGGCATCTATCCTTCCATACTTGGAGGTCATCTTCATTGTAGTAGCCACTTCGATCTGGATTGTTAGTCTGGCCGACGTCCTTTACGCCGGTATTCTGGTCACGAGTTTCTGCGTTGTATTCGTCTCCTGTGACATCAAGGTCAATGGGTCTCCCACTCCCAGCAGGAGTGTCGCCCCCAATGTTTTCCTTCTGTCCGTTACTGGCCATTTATTCTCCTATCTTTCCCACAGACGGCGCCAAATTGTGTAAGTGATTTTCTGACCACACTGCCCGCTTAATAACCAACTGGAGAGCACCGGCAGAATAGATGACACCTGGCTGACCTACAACAGAAAGAGAAGATTTCGGCGGTGGTTCGTCCACTCGGGGGCACTCCGACGATCAAGTCAGTATATCTCTCAAAGATAAATCAAGTGCTAAACTCACAAGCTTGAGTATCAAAAGCATACCTTTGACCCATGGAGGTGTCTCTCTTTTATAGCTAACATAAACCTAGTCCCACTAGAAGCCTGGCTTCTATGGATTCCCATTCCGTGCTTACTTTGGACTCCTCAAGAGATAAAGATAAACTCCCTAAGAGTTTTATCCTTATCTTAGCAAAGTTCCCTCTTTACTCTAGGACTCTTGCCCCTTATCCATATATCTCGGATTCTGATATCTTCCGAGATAACATCGGCCTTTCCGAGATAACCTCGGCGCCACAACCAAGACATGTGGCACCTCGGCTAACACGTCAGTGTCACCTTGTCACGTGTTGGTATTCAGAAAATACATCCCCATAGTGACTATTCAATAATTTTGAAGCACTTTTGTTAGACCGTTGTTATCCACGGTTTTTTTTTTTTCAAAATAAATTTTGGGAGTTTATAGCAAAATAAATTTTAAAATTTTGATTATTAAAGGTTAATGAAAGAATTTTTAATTTTTATTTTATGATTTTTAATTTTCAATTACGTATAAATAAAAAAATTGAACGCGAGAGAAATCATACCAGTTAGGCCTAAGACCATCTCCAATTCAAATTCATATCTTTCATCAAATTTAAAATTTGATAAAAATGGTATTTCGATCGTTTCACTAATTTGGTATTAAATGAAAGAAGTTATATTTTTTTCATCAAATTAAGAGAGCATTTAATCTTTCATCAAATCTCGCAGATAATCGTTGGTGGACGACCAGATTGAGAAAGATTTGATAAAAATTTACACTAGACCAAATGACTGACCAAATTTGATGAAACGATCGAAGAGCATCATTTAAATCAAACTTTTACTCAAATTTAATATAAAAAAAAATTAAGTAAGCGTTAGAAATACTCTAATAGATGACCCACCTATTTATATTTTACATTTCTCATTTATGCAAAATAGCATATAAATAATAGGATATGATAATTTAAAATTATTTAATAATTTTTTAAAAAATGTTATTTTTGCTTCTGACATTAGATTTATACCACGGAATTTATATAACAAGAGCATTGCATAAAGATTATTTATACAAACTCTTTAAATTATTAAAAAGTATTATTTTAACTCTTTAAATTATAAAAACTTATAAATAGACCTCTTAAATTATTTAAAAGCAATATTTTGTCTCCTAAATTATAAAAATATACACATAAATTTTAAATTATAAAAACGTACAAATTAAATTTATAAATTATAAAAATATTCAAATTGACCCCTAACAAAAAGGATATATATATATATATATATATATATATATATATATATTTTTAAATTTAAGAACAAAATAATATTTCTCAATAACTTAAAAGTTATGAAAAAATTACTCATAAATCCCATCTGAGGAAATGTTAGTCTATTTAGTCCTATATGTTTTTTCATAAACCAAATAATCCTTTTTATTTGTAGTATGTATTATTGATTTGATTTAGTAATAATTGAGTTTACTTGTTTGTCCCTTATTGTGATTATGTTTTTGATGTTGTTTGGAGATTGAGTGTATGTGGATAAGGTATAGTTTAACATTTTTATTTTTTTTAGAAATTTTGTGGAATGATTGTGGGGATTATTAATGTTACCTTCTTTGTATTACATTATTGATGTTAAATCATTTGCGTTTTCTTGGAGAGGTGTGTGGGTTGTAAGGTTCACATTTATCTACATAACATCAGTCCAGAGCCACGTTGCCGTACCAATAAGCCTTCCACTAACAACCTATAACATTAGCACCAAACACCAACCACATAACATAACATCGACACAGTCCGACAATTCCCGACAATTAACAGCCACTACCCCCTACTATTACCAAACCCCACCAACACTTTCAGACATACATCCTCCCATTAGCCCTCAATATTACAAAATGCACACTCAATCATACAAGCATTAGCTACAACACCATGCGTCTGTTACATTACATATATGCACAACATCACATTTGCAATCAGTGGTAACCTCCAAACCCATGAAAATATTTACAACATTAACCAACAAAACCATATATCTGTCACATTACAAACATGCACAACATCACATTTACAATCAATGGTAAACTCCAAACCTGCAACGTGAACAATATCACCTAAAAACCTACATGAAACGCCAATTAAGCAAAGAATAATATTATATGTACCAATTAGTATACTAACTCGTATACTAATTGATTATGTACCATAATTTAAGAGGTTTTTAGTATTTGTAATGTGATTAATGGGTGGGGTCAATAACAATGTCATAATTAGTGTTGATACACTAGTTAGTGTACTAATTAGTGCATATAGCACTACCATTAAACAAAAACTCATTTCGAACGTCGACCTTGATGTTGTATTGTTCCACAAACAACCAAACTAACATTGAAAACACTCATACTTGTTGTCATCACACTAACACATGAGCAATGATGCCGTCGACGGATTAATTTTAAATTACTGACATTACATCCTCAATGCTAATTGCACTCCAAGATGTCCTAGTGCCCACGCCGCTTTGCCCCTGTAAATTTTATAGCAAGGGTTTCCATGATTTTCTAGGATTTTTTGGAATTTTTGTAATGTTATTTAAGGAATAATGAATTCTGGGTGTAACGATCCCAAATTCAACGTTCAACTCACACAAAGTAAGGATCAACCCTGCAACATTGGCAAGGAAACGTTGACGTTCTCATTTTTAAGCTTCTGTTTTGTTTGTAATGAAAGGAAAAGAAAAAATATGCTATAATATACTTTTGGGTTTTTTTTAGTAACTACAATATCATCTAAACACTCAATATATCCCTTGAAATAGTCAATCCATGCGTTATATTCGTAGGCTCAAATATAATTAACATTAACTTGGGACCAATTAATTTATAAAAATAATTCGAACTATCTAAACCTAAAATTCATTAGTGTTTTTTTCAAAGTTTTTTTTATACGATTTTATAATTTGGGAACTGTAAATATGAGAGATAATACTAATCCCCTGCATCACACTCTCCAGGGCCTAGGTAGCAATTTGGAACACTAAGGCCTAGTTTGGGAAGAGTGTACTTTTTTATTTTTTATGAAATATGGGTTGGGTTTGGGTTGAGTTTGAAATGATGTGTTAGAGAGGTGATGTGACTTAAATAAGATGATGTGAATTAAATAAGATAGTAACTTTTTGACTTTTTGTCTTTTTCCAATCATGCCAAACTTGACCTAAACCGATTCTGGACTCTTCAAATCCTATCCTCAACACACGTGTCCCCATCTGGACAGTTGTAGATGTTTTCTCTCTCTCTTCCCTATATCACTCCCCGATCCTCATTCTCTCTCCTTCACAACCCCATCACACCCCCCCTGAAATCACACTTAGCTCCACAGTACTCCATTCCCTTCCCTGCCCTTCCCTTCCATGGCAACTATGGCTACAACTCTCACTTCCTCTCTTTCCTCCAACCCCAAGACTGACTTCTTGGACACCCACCAATCCTCCTTCCATGGCGTCCCTCTTTCTTCCCCAATTCGCCTCCAACCCATCAAATCCACCCCACACAACCTTTCTATTTCCATGTCCGCTTCTTCTCCTTCCTACGATCTCCGATCATTCACATTCGAACCCATCAAAGAATCGATCGTTTCGCGCGAAATGACTCGACGGTACATGATGGACATGATCACCTATGCTGATACTGACGTTGTTGTCGTCGGCGCTGGCTCTGCTGGCCTTTCCTGCGCTTACGAGCTCAGCAAGAACCCATCGATTCAGGTAAAAAAAAGTCTATGATCGAAATCACTGTAATGTTCTGGGTTAGATACACTGATTTTGTAGCAATCCCCAAATTGAAATTGGATACATACATGTACGCAGACATGCAGTTTATCTCACTATAAACACCCTATTTGTTTGGGTGTAAAATTTCTGATTTGGGTTTCACTTTTTTGTAATTTGATTATGTGCATGTGCATGTGCATGTAGAAGAACTGATAATTTTTTACTAGTGGATCTTTTCTGTCATACAAATCTATGTATGGGAGTTGCTAAATAGTCTCATCATCATGTAATTTGTTTTTGCGAGCCTTTTATGGACGCTGAGGGCGAGGCCGCCCAAAACCTCTTATATCTATCTAGCCTTCTTTGTGTTGGTTTTTTTATTTTCTTGATCATTTAGTGGGTTGAATTGAAATCATATGATTCTCGCATAACAAGTCCATTATTGGAAACCATTTACTGTAGAAACAGTTATTAAAGACAATTTACTGTAGATGCAGTTTAAAAGCTTTGAAACAATTGGATTTAGATCCCGTTAACAAATTATGTAAAAATCTTGTGTATTTGGTTTTTGTGTTTCTAGCCCGACTGATTTTTATCTTATGACCATGTTCTTTTAAATAGGTGGCAATCATTGAGCAATCCGTCAGCCCCGGCGGTGGTGCATGGCTCGGTGGACAACTCTTCTCAGCCATGGTTGTCCGGAAGCCAGCACACTGCTTCCTTGATGAGCTCGGTATCGAGTATGACGAGCAGGACAACTATGTGGTGATCAAACACGCAGCTCTGTTCACAGCGACCATCATGAGCAAGTTGTTGGCTAGGCCAAATGTGAAGCTCTTCAACGCTGTGGCAGCTGAGGACTTGATTGTGAAGGGAGGGAGAGTCAGCGGTGTTGTGACTAACTGGGCTTTGGTGTCCATGAACCATGACACACAGTCCTGCATGGACCCCAATGTGATGGAGGCTAAGGTAGTGGTGAGCTCTTGTGGACATGATGGTCCATTTGGGGCCACCGGAGTCAAGAGGCTGAAGAGTATCGGAATGATTGATAATGTCCCAGGGATGAAGGCCCTCGACATGAACACGGCTGAGGATGCTATTGTGAGGCTTACAAGGGAGATTGTGCCCGGGATGATCGTTACTGGCATGGAAGTTGCAGAAATTGATGGAGCCCCAAGAATGGTAAATTCTTTTGCATAAATATACACCTTGGTTTTGATTAACTTGGAGATGCTTTACTACATGCTCTGTTTTTCAAATATTGTCTAGACAGTATTCCTAGTTATGTGTGTGCTACTAATGCATAGTCTGTTTACACAGATATAGTAAATCTTTTGAAGAAAAATTTAGTATATGGTATATCTTTTGCATAGAGATACTCCGTTTTGAATAATTGGGAGATGCTTTACTATATACTGTGTTTTATAAATATTGTTTGGCTAGTATTCCTAGTTTTATGTATACTACTAATGGATTGTTAATAAGATTCCATTGTTCTAATCCATTTTTCCAATATGGGCATTTTATTTTTATAGGATGCAAGGTAAAGAGTTAAACAAGCAAATTTTTTTTTTTATTTAAAATATGTCTGCTAATATGTTCTTTTTGTGATGCAGGGGCCTACATTTGGAGCAATGATGATATCGGGACAAAAGGCAGCTCACCTAGCATTGAAGGCATTGGGACAGCCAAATGCACTGGACGGAGCATATGTTGGAAGCGTTCAACCTGAGCTTATCCTAGCTTCGGCAGATGCCATTGAAACTGCAGATGCTTAAGCGTAGTTCTAGCAAATATGCAAGCCTAATAAAGAAGAGTGAACAAGAAAGTAGTAGTTGGGATGAGATGGTGATGGTTGTGATGGCAAATCCTTAAGTGGATGAGTAAATTCAATGGCTTAGATGTAATTAGGCCAAGTTTTTGATTGTGTGCGTCTCCTTTTGCTTTCCCTTTCTTTTGGGACTTGGATTTGAGAAATGGCAGCACTTGGTTCCTTTTGTTTTTACACATCTGCCTATGCTTTGTTCTCTCTTTCTCTCTCTCTTTCTTTGTGTAATGTGTTTGCCTTGTGCATTTTGGTCTCTGTTTTGTGTGAACACACTGCCATGAAGAGTCACCAAGAAGGTCAAACACATTGAGGAGGTGATTTGAATGCACTTGGTTTGGCCTCAACTCTGACATAGACTTGTCAAGTTTGTTGCATTCTGGAACAAAGAACTCGTGTCGACTCCAGGCTTGGAATATCCAGGAATTTGTCTAATGAACGAGGCAAACTTGGAAGCTTGATTGAACACATTTTTTGACAATAAAAAAACCAATGTTCATCAGCTACATTGGTTTAGTTTCTCTGATGGTGATGCCAAAAAACAAAAATCTGATAAGCATGAACAGCTTAGCTATCTATAAAAGAAAGGGGACGATTGGGCAGAGATCTCTCGGATAATTTCGAGGTGATATTCAGGTAAGGTTTAACGCAGTCCTGTCAAGTGCAGACAGAGTGCTGTTATTGCTGAATTAGGATCCCCTACTTGCCTCTCTCTTGTTTTCCTAGTTGCAATGGTGGTTTAGATTTGACTATTTTTTTTTTTTAAAAAAAATTGTTTTTAAAATTATGTTTTTTTTTTTTTTTTTTTTTTTTTGTAAATAGTCAAATCTAAACTGTTGGATCATCTTAGAATGCATTTCTGTCAGAAAGTGCAAATAGAGGATCTAGATTCATTATTATTGGCTTGGCTTTTTTGACATCAAGGGCTAGTTTGTAACGGAGCGACTTCTAGATTGCGTCTGAATCCGTTCGAAGCCAAGTGTTTCGGACCTCTAGGTTCGTGGATCCGAACTCTTTCGAGTCCGAATGCCTCGGATCTCTAGGCTTGCCTAATACCCTTTCGAGTCCGGGCTCGAGTAAGTCTCTAGGTTCGTGGATCCGAACCCTTTCGAGGCTTAGAGCCATTCAGCTCGTTTGACGGCGATAAATCCAAGCCCACCAATCTTGGACTTGCGATAAATTCGGGTCCACTAATCTTGGGCTATTAGGCCTAAATAATTTAGTGGGCTTAAATTAGCTCCTCTTACAATCACATCACCTCTCTAACACATCACATCAAACCCAACCCAAACCCAATCTAAACCCACCAATAAGTCAAAAAGTGCACTTTTTTAGGACATCCCAAACCAACACCAAGTAATACATTTCTACCATTGCAAGTAAGAAGATAAAGAGAGAGTGCAAGTAGAGGATTTGGACTCTTTATTACTGGCCTGACTTTTTTGACGTCAAGTGATGAGAATATTTCACAGGGATGAGAATATTTCACAGAGATCATCCTGACAAGAGATCATTTTGAATCCATGTTAAGTCGCAAATATGATCAACAAATTGTAGGAAGGAAAAGAATTTTGCAAGATTTGAGTGTATTAGGTGTACAAGTTAGGACTTTGTTGCATGATTATTCATGAAATATCCAGGGTATACAGACATTTTAGGACAGAGGATCCGATCTCTTTCCTAGGAACCTTGATTTTATACATTCTAGACAATTTTAAGGCAGTGTTTAGGTTGATTTGGAACTATTGCAGTTGGTGAGTAGGGTTATAAATGTAGGAAACTTTCCATTGCCTCTTGAGAATCATTGCTAAAAATAAGTAAATAAATAAAAACTAGAGTTCAAATGCGTCAGACTGAGAGTTCATTTTGGGCTTGTCTCGAGTTTAGACCATGTTTGGCTTCTCTGCCAAAACAACAGACACAACTAACAAAAGCCAATCCTCATATACCCAGTAGCTAACTGTGACAATAAACCTCTGGAAACTCACTTCTCCGATTTTCCCTCTAAAACTAACGGAAGAGAACTGTGCTGAATGGGTCTAACTATGTTCTCTTTCTATTTTAAGCAATTCATGTCAATCTCACACTTGGGTTTTTTTCTTTCATAGTCTTACCTTTGTCCTCACCACCACCTCCTTGATTGATCGTGTGTTCTCACGCGGCATTGTCTGGATATCATCATCAAACACCCTGCAGCCATTAACTCTCCGTTAGCTTCGCGCCTCTGCTCTCAGCTCAACAACAACTATTTGTTACCCATATACATATGATCCCCATTTCTAGCAATGAAAATACCGTGGAAACTAATAACAATATCTTGTATTGTCCTAGTCTTTTCTTGCTATAGCATTGGGAAATGTAAGGCCCAATCGGATTATGACTTCGGTAACGGAGATGGTGGGAAGGTGGCTGCCCCGCCTCCCGAACAAGACACCTGCAACGGAATCTACGTGGCCTACACATTCACGTCGCGTGAAAAGGCGTATCCGTTTGTGAAGAATGCTTCAGCGCAGGCATGGGCGTTTAAGTCTCAGTTGTTGGTTTTGAATGCGGGTTCATACGAGCTGAAGGCTTGGAATGTTCATGTTGGGTTTCAGTATGATGAGATATTGGTTGGGGTGAATGGGGCTGTTGTGGTGGATGCCGAGGACTTGCCCACGAAGGTGGGGAAGAATGGGACGACGCTTGCTGGGTATCCGATGACGGACTTGAAGACGGCGATTGAGACTGCCGCGGATGTTACGCAGATTCAGGTGACTGTGGAGATGACGGGGACACAGTTCGGGTTGAAGAAGGGGACTCCGATGCCTAAGACGATTGAGCTTGTGAATGAGGGGTATAAGTGTCCTGCGCCAAAACGCCACAGTAAGTATATATATGTTGACTATTATTAGTACTATATTTGTGTTTTTTTTCGTGAGGTAAGGTGACAAAAATGAGCTATAACTTATGGTTGTTGAGACTAGAAACAGAACCAAGGAACAAGAGTAATGAAGATTCAACATTTAGGCTTTATAGATTTTGATAGGGAAAGGTAAGCAAAATGAATTTTCTAGTTCTTTTACCAGAAAATACAACCAAAATGCCCTTTTTAAGAGGCAAGAAAATACAACTGAAGTGTTTCCATTCTTTTTGGGTAAATTAGAAGGGAATGGAGAGTCAAACTCACGTCCTTTTAATTATAATTAAACAAGTTCTATGTGGAGTAAAATAGAAATGCTATGAATCATAAAAAGTTATCTCAAAATTTATTTCAAAATGAACTGTATAGTGTAAATTTAAAATTAATAGAATATGAGTCATAGCTAAAATAATTACAATCATAGAATTTTTTTTTAAGATACTTTTCCGAATTTTTAGCATTGTTGGGACTAAATACGCGAGTTCTCACCCTGGGCTAATCCCTTTTTTCTCATAGATCAATGGGACAACAACAAAGCCAAGAACATAGAAGGTGACCAAATTGGCATTGTTTATCCTCACATTCCTGTGTTGGCATCTCAACCTACTCAAAACCATAAGATCATGTCTCAAAGTTCAAGTGCTTCAAGATTCTAAACATGAATCAATAGTTCTAGACATCAATCAATAATTGAGATTGCATTGAGACACAAAAACAAACAATTTAGAGACAGAAAATCCTCAGATGTCAAATGTTTGTCCCGCACTACACTGTAAATCCATCCCCTGAGATGCAATCTAGATCAATTTTCACACTTCATATTTTTGCTGTAATCCTGACATTGTCATTAGAAGGCATATTACTAACTTCACATCTGATTATTCGATTTTTTTACAGCCACCTCCATGAACGTCTGCTGTCGCAGGGACCCAAAATACAAGGCCAAAAAAGAGGTCAAAACAAAGTTCTTGCCTCGCCAATATGGCGATCTCTCCATCACCTACGACATCCTCCAAGCCTTCGATGGCAACTATCTCGCCCAAGTAACCATCGATAACTTCCACCCCCTTGGCCGCCTCGACCACTGGAACCTAACTTGGGAGTGGATGAGAGGTGAATTCATTTACACCATGAGAGGAGCTTATACCCACAAAAAAGACCCTTCTGAATGCATATATGGAAAACAAGGACAGTACTACCAGACCTTGGATTTCACTCCAGTCATGAACTGTCAACGAAAACCCATCATCTCCGACCTCCCAAAGGAGCGAGCCAACGATGAAAAAGTCGGCAAACTCCCATTCTGCTGCCGAAATGGTACTATTCTACCAACTATCATGAATGAAACCGAGTCGAGATCAATTTTCCAGTTACAGGTCAGTGGCGGCTCAAGATTTTTTTTTTTTTTTTTTTTGAAATCTTAAAATGAGACATTATTTTATTGTGTTTTTAAAAAATTGGAGCTTTCGATAATAAATTTTTTTGAGATTTTTTTTTAAGTCTTAATGGACAAATTAAGGATTTGTTTAGAAAGTGACAAATGATTGGTGAAAAATAAAAACTGAACCATTTGGTAAAGATTTTTTTTAACTTTTTATCGAAAACGTATAAAATTAAAAAAACGTAAAAAGTAGAGCGCATGAGAAAGAATTTTTTGTATTACTTTTCTAACTTTCTTTGAATGACGTGTTTGGGAGCTTGGTTTTTGAATTTTTTTTTTTTTTAACTACAAGATAAATGTTTTACAAAATTAAAAAAATAAATTCAAATAAAATATCACATCAAACTCTATAATCATTTCACTTTTTCTCTCACAAACATCACGTCCAACTATAAAAAATTCAACTATCTTTTCAAACACAAAAAAAATTTCTCCAATAATATCCTACTACTAAAAAAATTTACAAAAAACTCACTTCGCAAACACTCACTTTTACTTTCTGACTAAGGCGGTGTTTGGCAAGTTAGTTTTTGGGTTTTTTTTTTTATTTTTTTCACTACAAGACAAATGTTTTACAAAATCAAAAAAAATCAATCCAAACAAAATATCACATCAAACCCCATAATCATTTCACTTTTTCTCTCACAAATATCACATCTAATCACAAAAAAATCCAACTATTTTTCCAAACACAAAATTTTTTTCTCCAATAATGTCCTACAACTAAAACAACCCACTTCCCAAACACCCACTTTTACTTTCTGACTAAATTATCCTATTTAAGCTAATGGTTAAGTTATCTCAGGTCTTTAAAATGCCGCCGGACTTGAACCGAACCGCCATGTCTCCGCCGCAGCGTTGGAAGATCAACGGAATCCTCAACCCAGATTACAAATGCGGTCCACCAATCAGAATAGACCCTACCGACTTCCCGGACACGACCGGGCTGGACGCTACTAGCAGTGCAGTTGCTAGCTGGCAAGTCACATGTAACATTACCCGGCCGAAGCCAAAACAGTCTCGGTGTTGCGTCTCGTTCTCGGCTTACTACGCAGACTCTGTCATCCCTTGCAACACGTGTGCGTGCGGATGTGAAGAGGAGACGATGTGTAATAAGAACGCGCGGCCGTTACAGATCCCTCCCGAGGCTCTGCTCCTGCCTTTCGCGAACCGGACCATGAAAGCCAGGGCTTGGGCAGCTCTCAAGCATCTGACCATCCCCAAAAAGCTGCCCTGCCCGGACAACTGTGCGGTCAGCATCAACTGGCATGTCGATACCGACTACAAGTCGGGTTGGACGGCCAGGATGACTTTATTCAACTGGGAGGAATACCCTTTCAAGGACTGGTTTGCCGCGATACAGATGAAGAGAGCCTTCCGGGGCTACGAAAATGTGTATTCCTTCAATGGAACAAAGCTGCCTGAGCTCAACAATACTATCTTTTTCCAAGGCCTGGAGGGATTGAATTATTTGATGGGAGAGACAAATGGGACTAATCCAGCAAAGGACCCGAGGGTGCCTGGAAAGCAGCAATCGGTGATTTCGTTCTTGAAAAAGCGTACTCCAAACATAAACATAGCGCATGGCGATGGATTTCCAACGAGAGTGGTGTTCAATGGGGAAGAATGCGCAATTCCTCCTGAATTTCCAAAGATAAGTATGGCGCAACAGCCTCGTGTTTGCCTCCTACCTGGAATTATTCTTGGAATTGTGACTTTCGTGCTTGTGACGGATCACTTCCATTGATAAAAACATTCAGAGTTTTCTCATAGGGTGTATTATTAGCTTTTTTGAGACATTTTTATACTGTTAAAATGTAATTTTAGTTGAGAAAATATCAGCATTGTGTTGTGTTCCTCATACTCTACAAGTGTTCTCAGATGAGGTGATCGTAAAAAGTTGAGACATGCACTATGATTGATTGTATGAAATTCTACATTTCTAGTTGCTTTTATATACAAATGAACATGATTTTTTTCGCAATTTTTTTTTTGATATATTGAGAGTTTGGTAGTTGTAGTTCATATCTTTTGTTGTTCTATATTAGAATTTGCATATTGAATTTGACCATACCAACAAGAGATTCCATGGTGTCACTATGATTGCTGTTGTTTTTGCTTCGCTCTCTATACTAATTTAGAGGAGCTTTCTCATAAAGATTGTGTGGCTGAACAATGAGGATCCTACTTGTGCGTACCGAATCTCGCACTAGATGAAGTGGATCAGAACTTTGTGACTGAATGGGACTATCTACGAACTGAAGGCCTGCAAAACAAAGGCACCGTTAGAGCTGCCCGGCCTGGGTTGGACGGAAAACTCCTCCGGTGTGAGAATGAGCGATCGGAGAAGATGAAGTTCTCTCTCCAAGTGTAGAGAGAGGAAGAGAAAGTGTGTTCTATGTGTGATTAAATGAAACAAGTTAAGGTACCTTCAATGTGAAGAGAGTGTTGCTTATATAGAAGACTTAACTTGTTCTTTTAGGTGAGATTCATAAAACTTGGGTGCCTCAAGACTCTCTTTATCATTGCTCAAGATCAAAGACCACAAGGTGGTTAGTCACAGAGGCACATGCTCATTATAACTGTGTATATAATAGATCACATTATTTTCATCAACTAATTACGTGATTCTAGGAAGGGGAACCAGTTGAGGTGGTGAAGGAGCTGAATATGAAATGAGTCGGATCCAAGCCTTGGGCCGGCCTAATCCACTAAAGCCCAAATCCAAGTGGGTTAGATGAATATATGGGCAAGCCAATTGAGCCCAAGTCCGTGATCAACAGCCTACCCAAGTCTTCAAGAACTTGGGCCCAACTCGCAGTGGAAAGGCTAGCCCAGCCGCAATGCTGGGCTGGGCCGAGCTGCAAGACCTAATATATGGACCAAACCAAAGTAGGTCGAGCCCACACAAAGATATCCGAATGGACCAGCCCATCTCTATAAACGATCTTATAAAAGGCCGAGCAGATGCACAACAGTACCGAGCTAAGGCACAACAATACCGAGCTGAGGAAACCCCTTAGAGAAACGTGGAAGCCATGAATGCATGCACATGGAGGATGCCACCTCAGCTGATCCCCTACACCTAGAATCACGGAAGCTGTTAAACCAGAAGAATGTGGTTTGTTATTAGCATGACTACAATGAGTATATGCATTCTATGACAATTATCAGGTGGTCCCCCACCTTGGGCAATGCTAAAAGGAAACTTGGTAGCACCTGAGCTCTATGAAACCATCTTGAGCAACAAGCAAGGAACCCTATATATACTACATGAACTTCACATTGAAGGTAACTGAACTAATCCAAGCTGAACCCCACTTACTTACAAACTCAACTCTCTACACTTCTTTTCCGATCACTGATTACCACACCGAAAGGGTTATTCACCCAACCCCGGCCAGGCAGCTCTTACGGTGCTTCTTGTGGCAGGAACCTCAATCCTTGGATAGTCCAACAGAGTGCAGAGCCCTAATCCACTTTCATCTACTGCGGAATCTGATACGCACAATTGGTGCAGTGAGCGTGGAACACTTTATCTCTAAGCTCTGCACTTAGTTCTGGCGATGAGGATTAAGGACATCCCACCTTCGACACATACTCCACAGATGGAAAAGACAAAGGACAAAGGCTTAGCACTCCCAATAGTCCTAGAAAAACAAACTGGAAACAATAATCGGACCCCTGAATCCGTCGAGCATCGATTACCCTTCGTTGGAGGTTCATCTCATCACTTTCTTTTGGAAAAGGATTACAGAGATCGAATCATAAACTCTATGGGGATGGAGATACAGGAGCTGAAAGCGCAACTTAAAAGGGTGCTGGTTGATCTAACGGAAAAAAAGACTGAAGCAGAGCCCTCTCGCTTGCGACAAAGGAGCTCATCCAGAGAGCCACCAGTGAAGAAGTTCTCTAGAAATGAGTCTGGGCAACAAAGCCAACCTATCCCGGTATAGAGTGAGGCGGCGAGTAGCCACACCCGTGGGTCACATCGGAGAAGGGCTAAGAGGCAGAAGACGGTTAGCCAACAGACTGAATACCCTTCTCAAGACTTTCGTACTTGGCTGATCAGAAACAAATAGAACGAGCAACATCGGGATCATCTGGACCGTACCATTCACCAGAGAGAGCACCGAGCGCTGGATAGGCTCATCTCCTCACCATTCTCCCCGAAAATTGAGGCCATAAGACCTCCAAAGAAATTCACCCCACCAAAGTTCACTTCGTATGATGGGAAGTCGGACCCACTGACGCATATTAGCCATTACAGACAGATGATGTCTCTATGGAGCCGAGATGAGGCATTGATATGCAAATTCTTTCCATCCAGCTTGGGAGAAACCGGACTTCGATGGTTCGATCGACTCCCCACTGGATCAATTCATGGCTAGAAGCAGCTCTCCGAAGAGTTCCTAGCCAGGTTCGTCTCCAACACTAAAATCCTGAAAGAGCCGAATACACTGTTTGGTCTCCGGAAGGAGCAGGAAGAAACGTTGCGCAGTTATGCTAAGAGATACTGGAAAGAATACAATGACCTGGAGGAAAACGTGTGCAGTGAGCAGATGGCCATTATGTCTTTCAAACATGGTCTGCACCCGGAAAGTAAGTTGAGGCAATCACTTACCAAGCACCTGGCCACAACATTGAAAGATTTGCGTGCCAGGATTGAGCAGTATGCTCGCCTTGAAGATGATCAGATCCCCATCGAGGTAGCATCAACAGAACAAACAGCTCAGCACAAGAAGAGAACAGATCGAGGAGAACATTGAGGGCTCACGGTGAATGAGGTGGATAAGTCCAAATCTCACGAAGCCGTCGTGACTATATTCAAAAAACCGATCTATCGAATCCTGGAAAAGATCAAGAGAGAGCCCTTCTTTGTTTGGCCGCCGAAAATGTTAGGAGATCCGACTCGGCGCAATCAAAAGCTCAGATGCACCTACCATCAAGACATGGGGCACATGACTCAGAACTGCATGGCACTGAAGCAACACTTGAAGGACTTAGTAGCAGTTGGGCACCTCCAGGATTACATTGATCAGGATAAGGAAGTGGCCGAACCGGGGAACCCACCACCAGAACCGAATATTGAGCACCCACCTCGGTTGATAACAAATGTGATCCATGGAACAGCGACTCAGGAACCTGAGGAGACACTGAAAGGGGAGATTGCTAAGGCTATGAAAATTCAGCAGGTCATGTCAGTAGAGCCTGCATCGAAAAAGGTACGCACGGTACCCAAATCCCCCCTGTGCATTGTTTCATTTACTAGAAAGGATTTAGAAGGCATACAACACCCACATACTGATGCACTAATTATAACTGTGGGAATTGGGAAACGGTTTGACGTAAAACGAGTCCTGGTAGATCAAGGCAGTGCAGCAGACATATTGTGTTATGACTTGTTCAGAAAGCTTGGTCTCTCTGAGCAGCACCTCACCCCAGTGGCAGCCCTCCTAGTTGGCTTCAACTCACAGCCAGAATGGCCGCTTGGTAGAATAGTGTTGCCAGTTGTGGCAGGAACAAAAACCCTCCAGATAGAGTTTCTAGTTATTAATACACCATCCCTTACAACGCCATACTTGGCCGTCCATGGATTCATCAAATGGAGGCGGTCCCTTCAACCTACCACCAGCTCATCCGTTTCCCAACGGAACACGGAGTAGAGCAGATCTTAGGGGATCAAGTTGCGTCCAAACATTACTTTATGGCGGCACTAAAGGCAAAGCAACTCTGCAACCGGGTACAGACAGTGAAAGTGGCCGAACAGCCAGCCTTGGAAGATGTAGGGGGAGCCCCAGAGGAAAAGATAGTAGAGGATTTGGAGAAAGTCCTGGTAAAAGAGGATGATCCAGAAAAGTACTTCCTTATCGGTGATACCTTGCTAGGCGCTGATGAGAAACTTCAGTTGCTGGAACTGCTGAGGAAAAATAAGGAGGTATTCGCGTGGTCAACATATGATACTCCAGGGTTGAACCCAGAATTTGCTTGCCACAAGCTCAACATCAACCATTCCGTTCGGCCCGTTGTACAGAAAAGTCGGAGATCCTCAGTTGAGCACACTGAAGCAGTAATTGCCAAAGTCGAAAAACTCCTGGCTTCGGGAGCGATCAGAAAAGTTCAGTACCCACAATGGCTGTCCAACACAGTTGTAGTCAAAAAGAAGAACGGAAAATGGAGAGTTTGCGTTGACTTCACTTGCTTAAACAAAGCCTGCCCCAAAGATAGCTTCCTGCTGCCTCGCATCGATCAACTAGTAGACTCAACAGCAGGGCATGAGCGCATGAGCTTTCTGGACGCTTATAGCGGCTATCACCAAATACCATTGTTCGGTCTGGATCAAGAAATGACAACATTTATCACTCCAAGGGGAACTTACTGCTACAAAGTAATGTCGTTCGACCTCAAGAATGCCGGGGCAACCTACCAGCGAATGATCACTCGAATGTTCAGGGACCAACTTGGGAAAACCATGGAAGCTTATATAGATGATATGGTAGTAAAAAGTAAGCTCGCTACAAACCACCTGGCAAACTTGAGAGAGGTTTTTGGCATCCTGAAAAACCATCAGTTTTGCCTCAATGCCTCGAAATGCACTTTTAGGGTAGGAACAGGGAAGTTCTTGGGATACATGGTCACTCACAGAGGAATTGAGGTGAATCCGGATCAAATCAAGGCAATACAAGGTCTTGAAGCACCAACAAAGGCTAAAGAGCTGCAGAAACTGGCCGGGATGGTAGCCGCCCTGAATCGGTTCATCAGCAAATCTTCAGATCGGATGAAGCCTTTTTTCCAGTTATTGAGGAAAAGGCTAGTGTTTGAATGGAGTTCTGAGTGTACCGAAGCACTGCAAAGTCTCAAAAGATACCTCAGCACACCGCCTCTTCTGTCCACTCCAGAACCAAGAGAAGAGTTGTACCTATATCTAGTAGTCTCAGATCATGCCGTAAGCGCAGTATTAATCCGAGAAGTTAACAAGGAACAGAGGCCAGTATACTACGTTAACAAGATTTTACTAGATGCCGAGACACGGTATCTACCCTTGGAAAAGTTAGCTTACGCGTTGCTTATCGCCTCGAGAAAGCTACAACACTACTTCTAGGGGCATACCATCAATGTCCTTACTGAATTCCCCCTCAGATCTGTATTCAACCAAGCCGATTTCTCTGGCCGAACAGCAAAAAAGGCAGTAAAACTTGGTGAGTTTGACATTTGGTATCAACCCAGGACGGCAATCAAGGCCCAGGTCTTAGCAGATTTCGTGGTAGAATTTGCTCCCACCCAGAGTACCGAGCCAGGGAATCCCAGTTCGGCACAGGTGCCACGCACCACCGAACAGGGAAAGCTCTGCGCTTCGGAAGCATGAAAACTCTTTATTAGAAACATCTGGCAGCTTTATGTTGACGGGTCATCCAATAACCGAGGCTTGGGGGCAGGAGTAGTACTTATCTCACCAGAAGGATTTATCTAGGAACAGGCTCTCAGACTTGGTTGGAAGGCTTCAAACAATGAGGCAGAGTACAAAGCGTTATTGGTTGGCTTACGTAGTGCCGAACACTTCAGTGCAGAACAGCTTCTTGTTTTCAGCGATTCACAACTGGTGGTAAACCAGCTTTCTGGGGTCTATAAAACACGAGATGAAAGAATAGCCGTGTACGCAGGCAAAGCCAAAGACCTACTCAAAAAGTTTCAATCCATACGAGTGGAACGAATTAGTCAGGACAAAAACAGCCATGCTGATGCTCTGGTTTGCCTCGGCTCATCAGTAGATACCAAAGATGCTAGAAAAGTTTGGGTTGAGTTCGTGCCAGAACCAAGCATTGCATCTCCAGTCCTCTGCAGTAACCTAGAGCCGAGCTGGATGGATCCGATACTTGCTTTTCTAAAATCTGGTACTCTCCCCAAAGATAAAAAGGAAGCCAACAAAGTCAGACATAGGTCAGCTCGGTTTTGGATCTCATCATCTGGGAAGCTGTACAAACGCTCCTATCTTAGCCCTTATCTTCTATGTGTGCATCCAAATCTGATTGAGAACGTTCTCTACGAAATTCACGATGGGATTTGTGGATGCCATGTTGGTGGAAGGTCACTAGCGCACCGAGCCTTCACTCACGGGTACTGGTGGCCACGGATGCAACAAGATGCGCAGTAGTATGTATAGAAGTGTGATAAATGTCAAAGGTTTGCTCCGCTAATTCATTAGCCAGCCAAAACTCTTACTCCACTCACCAGCCCATGGCCCTTTGCTTAATGGGGTCTGGATATTGTTGGACCATTGGCGCGAGGCACTGGGAACAGATGGTTTTTCATCGCTGCAACCAACTATTTTACTAAGTGGGTTGAAGTCGAAGCACTAGCAAGTATCAACGAAGTGGACAAAAAGCGGTTTGTCATGAGAAATGTGGTGGTGCGTTTCGGCATCCCGCGGGTACTGATTGCAGATAATGGAACACAGTTTGATGGAAATATCTTCAGAAAGTTCTGCGTCGACTTCAGAATAGAATATCAGAACTCCTCTCCAGGGTACCCACAAAGTAATGGACAGGCGGAAGCATTAAACAAAACCATCATCAACGAAGTAAAGAAACGGCTTGAGCATGCAAAAGGAAAATGGATTGAAGAGTTACCCTACATACTATGGGCATACCGAACCACAGCACGGTGCTCAACGGGGGAAACACCTTACTCCCTAACTTATGGAATGGAGGCCATCATCCCACTCGAAGTAGGTCTCCCAATCCTTCGGTCTGAATTGTTTGAAAGCACCAGTAATGAGGAAGCTATTGCACAAGTGCTGGATATGGCAGAAGGCCGAAGAGAAGTCGCACTGATCAGACTTGTAGCTTATCAGCAGCAGCTCATCAAGAGTTTCAACCAAAAAGTTTTCCCAAGGAAATTTACACTTGGAGAACTAGTTTTGAGGAAAGTTATGGATCACAAAAGAGTGTCTGGCGAGGGCAAACTTGGGCCTAACTGGGAAGGTCTGTACAAGGTCGCAATTGCTGCTGGAAATAGAGCTTACTACCTAGAGGATCTCAAAGGCAGAGCCATACCTCGACCCTGGAATGTAGCCAATCTTAAGAAATATTATCAATAGAATTAAACCTTAACTTTTCTATCAGGATGTAAAGACTTTTACCTTTTGGCCAATACAAATGCTTCCCCACTTCTCTCAAGACTATCAAATTTTCTGTATTTAGCTTTGGTTCTAACCAAACGGAAATAGCTTTGATGTTTATCAAACGAAATTAGCTTTGGTACTTACCAAACGGAAATAGCTTTGATGTTTATCAAACGGAATTAGCTTTGGTACTTACCAAATGGAAATAATTTTGATGTTTATCAAACAGAATTAGCTTTGATGCTTATCAAACGGAATTAGCTTTGGTACTTACCAAACGGGAATAGCTTTGATGTTTATCAAACGGAATTAGCTTTGGTACTTACCAAACGGAAATAGCTTTGATGTTTATCAAACGGAATTAGCTTTGATGCTTATCAAACAGAATTAGCTTTGGTACTTACCAAATGAGAATAGTTTTGATGTTTATCAAATGGAATTAGCTTTGGTCTTAACCCATATGGACTTAGTTTCAGAACGACTGAACGAAATTAAAATTTAGTTAGCACTCAAACATGCTAAGTGGAATTACTTGGTGGAATTATGTTTGGCAACTAAATTGGACTTTAGCCAAGTGGAATTGCTTGGTGGAAACCGCACTAACATATCTTAAGTAAACATCTCTGAGTCTACAAAGTCTCTTAAGTATCGTCACATCAACACTTCAGTACTGCTACATACAAATAGAGTTGGAACAAACTAAGCTAAGTTCTATCGGGAGCAAACCTCCAGCAGTAGTCTTACTCAACTCCAACTGGGGGCAAACAATTGTTTTTTCAAACTAACCTGGACCTGAGTAAGACACCTCTTCATGCCTTTATCCCATTCAAGTGCATTTACACTATCAAAGTTGTAACAAACTTAAGCAGCTCTGCCTAGGTAGCACAGTTTTCAGCGCTGATCTTACTTAGCTCCAGGTGAGGGCAAACAATTGTTTTTTAGAACCAACCTGGACCTAAGTAAGACCCTCTTACAAAATCAAGCACAATCATGTAACATATTCGTTAGCCAGATCGAGCATTTGTTCGGCCCCGAGGTCCCAACAGTGCTCGGTCGGGGGCAAACAATACAGAACTAGACGGAGCATCTATTCCAAGCAGTATAGAACCAGACCGAGCATCTGTTAGGCCCCGAGGTCCCGACAGTGCTCGGCCAGGGCAAACAGTACATAAAACATTCAGACATAGAAGCCAAACAGCATCAGATTTCAAATTCAAAAGGAAAATCCCATCATTCAACAAAAGGCACAGATGATCTCATAGCCACCAACAAAGAAAAGAAAAATTGTCTTGGCAAGTATAGAAAAAAAGCTCAGACTGAGCCACAGTACATCAAAACAGAAAAGTAAAAACTTCAATTCCTTTCAGAGAAAACTTCAGCTTTCATTAAGAGAGGGAACCTCAGGAGCAGTGTCCACAATCTTGTCCAGGCCGTCTTAGGGAAGAAAAGTAAAGGCAGCTCCGACTTCCTGAGAAGTGGAAGCTTTCTTAACCACATCTCCCGCGGCTTCAGTCTCCAAGGTTCCACCCCCTTCAACGTTCACCGTTTCAATGGCAACAGCACTGTCCTAAGTCTTGTTCGCATAATCAATTTCTGGGGAAACTTCAGCCGGAAGAACCGCAGGGGTAGAGACAACCTTTGAGCCCAAGGATCTGGAGGGAACTGGGACATCCTAAAACAGGGGAGAGCCTTCAGGAACCAGGGCAGCAGCTAGAGCGCTCGACCAACCCTTTAGGAAGAGCTTGTCTCGCAGCACCAGTACCTCCTCTTTATAAGCAGCCCCAGCCTCATCCCAACCTTGTTGCCAGTGCTTGGCCTCCAACGCAGAATGCTCAGCAACCATCACCGCGATAACGACCTCTAGCTCAGCCAATTTTCCTTCAAGTTGAGCCTGCGCCCCAATAGTAGCCTCTTTTGATTTTTTAGCTGAAGTAACAATCTTGCTCAAACGGAATGCCTCCCTTTCGGTAGTTCGGCGTCTTTCTTTTTCAACCTCCAGGCTCACCGTCAGTCTCTCAGTGTTCATAGCAGCCTCCAGCACGGCCTTTTCTAGTTCTTCAGCACGGGTGATAGACAGATGCGTCCTCTGAATACACTGCAACGGATTACAAAGTATTAAAAGAAAGAAAGCAGTAACATAACACTAAAAGCAAACAAAACAAGAAAGCACTCACAGCAGTCATTATCTTAAGGGTCCCCTTCAATATAGGAATATCGCGGGGCCCATTATGGTCAGCCATGTCAACCGGCATCAACAGAGTCTTGGTCAAATCAAAAGCAAAATCTTGAGAAGTAACAACCGAATCAGAGATAAAAACAGGCCTGCCTTGATGCAGCATCGGCGGTTCCCATTTATGAAGTGCTTCGTCCTCAATAGGATCTTCATAAGCTTCCCCTACCACTATCTTGCCAGTCTCTCTCCTTCTCTTTTTTTCCCTCGCAGCAACCGAAACGGAGGGCTCGGCAGTAGCAGCGTGAGTAACTCTCACCTCCAATTTTACATCCATGAGGCTTTTCGCCTCGGTCTTTAATAGAGGGGTCTCCAAAGTATTAGAGGCACTGAAAGCCTCAGCCTCCAAACCCACTAGCACTCTCCTCTTCGACACGGACCTACCTCCCTGCGAAACTAGGGGCAGGAGAGGGTGTCCTTTCAAGAAATGCACCCTGGCTTTGACGGCGATTCATAACCAGAGGAGTGAGGAATGTGTCAGTCTTAGTATCAGAATCTAGAAGGGATGCAGCGAGCCTCGCTTTCTTCGGAATGACAGAGCAGTAAGTCGCTTAGTAATCCAACAACTCTGGCGCGGACCTCTTATTATACCTCAGAACGGCTTTGATGGCCTCAGTATTCTCCTGGTTTGGCCTTCGCTGATAACGAGAGGCCTCTACGAAAAAGAAGTACCACATTAAAACAACACCCAAAACAAAGGCAAAAAATACAAAAGACTCTGGAAGAAGGATTCGAACTTGGATAGCCATCCTTCAGAGACATCCGTTCGGACTAGAATTCGGTCCCGACGGGGAACTCCCAGTTGCTACCAACTTGCAAAAAATCATCATTGTGCTTGTCTGAATCAGGCAAACCAGTCACCAGATGACAGTCAATCGAATGAACACACAAGTAGTACGTGCTGTGATCCTTGTTATGAGAAAGAAAGAGTGTAGCAGCCCAAAACGTCCCAAATATCAAGATTCAAGCCCAACCGTTTGTTGAGAGCAGACATACCACAGACGACATGAAACAGATTAATAGATACTTGCATTGGGGTGAGTTGAACCTGGTGCAAAAATCGGCGCACCAAAGGGTCGAGAGGAAAACGAACCCCTCCCTCGACGACGGATGCAACCGGAAAAGCGGCGATATTCCTAGTGCCCATACGCTTGGCATTGACCCTTGCCGGCGAAAGGTTCACGTCATCGGGGATATCGTAATCACAACGAAACATGGCCATGGCCTTAAGAGTATCAACTAATGAGCGAAACTTTCCCATCAAACCGAACCTGGTGGTACAGGGGTAGAACTCAATACCAAGATGGGGAACACAATGGCGCAAGGTCCAGACAAGACGATTGAAACAGAAAAAGACAAGAGAAGAAGGATCACAAGAGGACTTACAAAGATAAGAGCAGTGGCAGTGAACGAGCGGCGCTGAAGCAAGACCGGCAGTGAAAAGTCTGAGCAGAACACCAACGAGACTGGTTCAGAAGCAAGACCGGCAGCGAAAAGTCTGAGCAGAGCACCAACGAGACTGGTTCAGAGGAACGGGAAGGGTTCTTTTTTTTCTTTGAAACTCTCCAAAAAGAAAGAAAAAGCAGATAAAGGGATTTGGATTGACAGCCAGAGCATTTATTGCACCAGCTGGCGTGAAGGTACGCGAAGCACGACTTTTGGTATGGAATCGATGCACTATCTCTGCACACCTACCCTACGTCGCCACGTGTCACCACGAAAGGACACATGTAGGGGTTGTGTGTCAGGATTGAACTGTCACCAAGGCCGAACTGAAGCAGAACCGAAGCAACGCGACACTTGGAGAGCAGAACAATAGCTCCCCCCAAGGGGAACCTTAGCGCGAGCTAGGGGGAAAATAAAGGGGCTGAATATGAAATAGGTCGGATCCAAGCCTTGGGCCGGCCCAATCCACTAAAGCCCAAATCCAAGTGCGTTAGATGAATATATAGGCAAGCCAATTGAGCCCAATTCCGTGATCAACAGTCTACTCAAGTCCTCAAGCACTTGGGCCTAACTCGCAGTGGAAAGGCTAGCCCAGCCGTGATGCTGGGCTGGGCCGAGCTGCAAGACCTAATCTATGGACCGAACCAAAGTGGGCCGAGCCCACACAAAGATATCCGAATAGACCAGCCCATCTCTATAAATGATCTTATTAAAGGCTGAGCAGATGCACAATGGTACCGAGCTGAGGCACAACGGTACTAAGTTGAGGAAACCGCTTAGAGAAACGTGGAAGCCATAAATGCATGCACGTGGAAGATGCCACCTCAGCTGGTCCATTACACCTAGAATCACGGAAGCTGTTAAACCAGAAGAATGTGGTTTGTTATCAGCATGACTACAATGAGTATATGCATTCTATGACAACTACCAGGTGGTCCCCCACCTTAGGCAATGCTAAATGGAAACTTGGCAGCACCTGAGCTCCATGAAACCATCTTGAGCAACAAGCAAGGAACCCTATATATATTACATGAACTTCACATTGAAGGTAACTGAACTAATCCAAGCTGAACCCCACTTACTTACAAACTCAACTCTCTACACTTCTTTCCGATCACTGATTACTACACCAGAGGGGTTATTCGGCCAATCCCGGCCAGGCAGCTCTTACGGTGCTTCTTGTGGCAGGAACCTCAATCCTTGGATAGTCCAACCAAGTGCGGAGCCTCGATCCACTTTCATCTAGTGCAGAATCCGGTACGCACAGGTGGCATTTCACACATGTCTACATTCACAACTTTCATGCTTGCTCACGAATTCCGCAGCTTGGTTTCCATCATACCTCGGCTCGGCCTTTTATGGGATTGCTCGTAGAGATGGGTTGGCCTATTTAGATGACCTTATGTGTGTTCGGCTCATTTCGATTCTACTGATTGGTTCGGCCCATCAATTCAGCCCAACTTAGTACCGCACCTGGATTGGCCTTATTTTAATATGCTTGGCCCAAGTGCTTGAGGACTTGGGTAGATGATTCACATGGAGAGTAGGGTTGGCCCACATGGGTGTCTAGCCCAGATGGCCATTCAGGTTCAGGCTTAATGGTTTGGACCGGTCCAAGACTTGGATCAACTCCATTTATATTTTAACCCTTCACTACTCATTCTACGAAATAGACTGATCATGAGTTTGAATCTTAAATTTGTAGTGAAAAGGAAGAAGAAAAAAAAAAGAAAAGGAAAAAAAATCAAATTCTAATTTATTTGTTTCAATAATGTTATGATAGTTACATTTATTTATCATGTGATGTAGTAAACAAAATATGGTCAATATAGTTACCATAGCATGGAATGGATTCTATCTAGTTGGTATTCAACTAAAGTAGTGTTGTTGGACTCTATGATTCTATCATACTAATTTGAATCGTTTATTTTGTTAAGTTTATTAATCAGATTATTCATGTGAAAAATTAAATTAATAAAATATTGTTATATACATAATAGAATCACATTTGTATTTAAAAAGTAATGATAATAAAAATAGATGGCAAGAATGTTTTAGAGAATAGACCGCATTTTTTTCCAGACAAATGTCACGCATCTTTCTTATGTCAAATTATAGCCTCCCTGGTGCAATAAATGGATGAACTCTAAACCCTACTCTGTATGTAACAAACACACTGCAATTCCCTTGATGAAAATTCAACTTACTTCCTATGATGTGAATTACTATGCTTCATACTTCTGATCCATTCTTGATCTTTCCTCTCTCATATAAGGGGATAGTTGTGTTTTTAGGGGAGGGTTAAAATTGAACAGTTATCAAACTAAACTAAGGCTTATATTCCATTCATGTAATATCAATGATATGATTTTTTATTTTTATTTTTTGGTCATTTCGCTCTGTCAATAGTTGTATAATTATATGTTCAGGTCAATTAAATAAATTCAATTTTTTTTTCCCAATCCAACCTGTTCCATTGAATTGCTTGCTCATGCAAAAATAAGCTTGGCCTTATTTTTAGACAGAATGAAAAATTGTAACACAGTAACTTCCAAGAACTATAATGTCTTTATTGTAAGTGGTAAACCTTGAACAAACAAATATTTTTCTTGTTTTTTTATCGCAAATACAAAACAACAGGTGATTATACAAAATGTTTCATACAATTCCTTCAAAGGAATATTTTGGATACACAGGTAATGAGGGTTGATTTTACATACAACAAATGCTTCCACCAGAGCATGTTTTTGCTGGTCGGATAGAAAACTAATCTGTGAACTCTAATCCAATATCTGTATAAAAGTATAGTATCTTCTCTTTCCAAATCAATTCAGTGTGAAAAATATCAAGTTATTTCTTGACTATGCCAAAAATTCATTTTCTTCATTCGAACGCCAAGCTTTAGGTTCAATGTTACGTCTTCTTGGCCTGTAGCAATAGTGTCAATGGTGATAAAGACAATTTCTCACGTAAACAGGAAAATAGAGAAAAAGAATATTTCAAAAGTGAAAGAAATTTACAATCAAAAGTTGTTAATGTGCCACTACAGATTATCAACATGTGTTTGCTTTTCAATTTCACATGCAGAGTATTGAATGATGCAGCATTTGTAAGAATCCACCAAACCAACGCAATAAATAAATTCTACCTTTTTTAGATACTTCTTGTGAAGTTTCATTGCCCCGCTGCATGCTTTTTTAGCATCCAGATTTCCAGTTATGTCATTCAAAATCTGAGAGAGAGAGAGAGAGATGAGTGACATGAAAAATTCTAGAGTTAAAAGAATAAATAGCAAGTCTTGCTGCTTGACCTACTAGTTAAATGAACAAATGAATGCATTGTGAGCATCCAGGTACCGATCAGATAGGTTTAACCCATCTTTTCTTAGGGCTTTAGAAAGGACAATTATAAAGAGGGAAACTTGAGTCAACTGCATTAAGGAACTCCAACAAGTGTTTCCATGAAATTTAGGGGAGAAAGAGAAGATCATTAACACTTCCCAGAATTAAAGACACTACACTATTACCCTCATGGACAGTAGCTTCCATTTTGGGGGACTTGTATAGCACTAAAATTTTAAGAAGTCATCAAACCAACCTTAACAACATCATCTAGGCCTCGGGCCTCAGTCAGTAACTTTGAGCTTCTATCTTTCAAGACACTAGCAACAAGAAAAACCGAAATGGGTAGTGGAGCTTCTGCATTTTTTGCTTTACTTTTCATGTTTTCTCTTTCATACTTCCCACACTGGCGTATTGACTTGGTTTTTCCTTTAGATCCCTCAGAATGTTCAGTAGCTGCATCAGGGTCCTCATACAGTGTGAACAAGTCAGGATCATATTCCAGAGCCCACATCATCTGTTTAACAGTTCAAAACATGACAAAAGTCAATTTTAAAAACAGCAGATTACTTTATCAACAGCACACCAAAAATATATATATATATATACATAAAATACTATAGATATATATATCGTTAATGCATTACTAGAATCGAATGCGTAAGTGAAAACATAAAAAAGGGGAAAAAGCTGAAGAGAGAAAAAAAAATATATATATATATATATGTACATATATGATTTCATTTCCAGGAATACTTGGTAGTAACTCAAAAAACACTTGAATATGGTTCCATTATATATATATATATATATGTACATATATGATTTCATTTCCAGGAATACTTGGTAGTAACTCAAAAAACACTTGAATATGGTTCCATTTTCAATAATTTCATTCCAAATATCAATAGGTTTAAGAGAGATTGAATCATACCTCCCATAGGTACAGTGAATCACCAAAAGAGAATTCTCGACGAAACAAAACCATAAGCATTCGGAAAGCAAATAAATAGTCACCTCCACCTAGGGTCTCTGTGGTCCAAGACCAGAAAACATACTTTATTGTTAATACAGCTAACAACTTCATCAGGTATGTTCAGAACAGCTTCTTGTTTTCATTAAAATAAAACAATAGCTGCTATTTTTGTTAAAATAAAACAATAGCTGCTATTTTTGTTAAAATAAAACAATAGCTGCTATTTTTGTTAAAATAAAACAATAGCTGCTATTTTTGTTAAAATAAAACAATAGCTGCTATTTTTGTTAAAATAAAACAATAGCTGCTATTTTTGTTAAAATAAAACAATAGCTGCTATTTTTGTTAAAATAAAACAATAGCTGCTATTTTTGTTAAAATAAAACAATAATGCCTATTTTTGTTAAAATAAAACAATAGCTGCTATTTTTGTTAAAATAAAACATAGAAAACAAACTATACTAATGAATGTTCTTGTTAACTTAAAGAAAGTACCTAAATGCTGATGAAGTTTTGGATCAATAACTTGGGTAATTGAAGCCAAATTACTAAGCTGTGTTTCCACCCCAACAGAGGTTTCAGTGCATCTGAAGTTTCCTCGCTTTAAAATTTCAAATTTCAAATTTCAAACACATCATGAGCAATTGGATATTAATTAAACAAGAAAAATGTAAAGCATAAAAAATAAAAATAAAAAGTAAAGCATAAATTGCAATAGCTACTATTGAAAACATAGAGAGATACAATTTATGAATGTAATTGATATGTACGAATCTAAAATAGGAAAACCCTTAAGTACTACTGATAATTTACATTGGATATTTCTATCTTTGTGATCCATAAGATCTAAAAAATATTGTTGTTGAAGCATATTTGCTTAAATTAAGTCCAGATGCTGAAATATAAATCAACTACAATAAATTATACCATTCTGCGCATCAAACGTTCAAAGCACCAAAAAGCATCTGCTTCATCTTCAAGAAGAATAATCATGGGGGAGCAAAGGTCACTCATTCCTGACCAACATATGCATAAAGCCCAATTTCAGAACCAACAACTTGATGCAAAGTATAGACATAAATCTAGCATATTACTTTGATGATGTGGAGAAGTTACAACATAGAAAGTTTCCTCAAAAGCACAACCATTGAGGTGTTTGGAACATAAAGAGAAAAGTCTGACAGATTAAGAAGAAATGAAAGCATATTGTACAGTTATGTGCATGCTATCCTGCAAAAATAGGGAAAAACAAATCGATTCCCCCCCCCCCCCCCCCCCCAAAAAAAAAAAAAAAAAAAAAAAAAAAAAAAAAAACAACTCTGATGTATGTATTCTGAGGGTAAATCAGTGTATGTATTCTGAGGGTAAATCAGTGATGGGTTAATGACCTCTCCTCTTGTTGATTATGGGTTATCAACCTCTTCAAAAATTGTTACTCTAGAAAACCACGTTGAGACAAGATAAAGAGTTAGGGTTGGTTTGGCATAAACTAAATAATACAAAAAGTCAAAAAGTCACTATCATATTTAAGTCACATCATCTTATTTAAATCATATCACCACTCTAACACATCACATCAAACCCAATCCAAACCCAACCCATATACGCCAATAAGTCAAAAAGTGCACTTTTTTAGAACATCCCAAACCAACCCTTAGTATCAAGTTGATGAATTAATAACTAAGCAATAATAGATATACGTTTGCACCATAAATAATTTTTATGCAATAATATACTTCAATATTTTTACAATATACTTCAATATTTTTACATGGTATCAGAGCCAATTTAGAACCTAATATTTTTCGCTTCACCGGCGGACGGCAACCTCACCTTAGCCGTCCACCGGACCTCAACCTATTCCTCTTATTTTCTATCCATACCTTTCCATCACTGCCTAAATCCTCTCTCCTCTACCACCACTGCAGCCGGAGATCCAGAAGTCATGGACGTCGAAGCCTTCTCAGCAACGACGATGGGATCGTCGATAATGACGGCGGTGACTGAGAACTTGAGGACCATGGAAGCAATGACGACCAGTATGATCAGTGGTCTGATGAATCCGCATTAAAACCATTTTGCGCTACAGTCAGCGGCTTGAAATCAAAACTGATGTCCACCTCTCTGGGTTTACCAGAAAACCCATTTGCACTTTTTTAGAACATCCCAAACCAACCCTTAGTATCGAGTTGATGAATTAATAACTAAGCAATAATAGATATACGTTTGCACCATAAATAATTTTTATGTCAATTTAGGCCATGAGAGATTATATGACCACATCTATTATTATTATTTGTATTATTAGTGCAGGACACTTGGCATTTTGTTGATCCCTTGGAGGTTAGAAGAACTTAAGACAAGTTTTGAAGATTTAAGGGATGAAGGACAAATGGCATTGTAAGAAAGAAGATGGAAGATTAGGAAGTTAATTGTAGTTAGGTGGTGGTTAGTGGAAGTTTTTCCTTCTTGTTTTTCTATAAATTGCCATTGATGGCTCTCTTGTAATGATCTCCAACAAACCAAATACAATGACTTGATTTCCATTTCTTATCTATCCTAGGAGTAGATCTAATCTACGTAGGAGTAGTTCAAACTTAGATAGGAGTAGTTTTAATGTACTTCACTTGTAATTTGATTGTCTGTTTTATTCAATCATTTTACTTCATCCTCTTCTTCTCTCTTTCTCTTTCTCTTTCTCTTTTTCTTGTTTGTTTTGCCATTGTTTTTACTCCAAGGAAATCCTTGAAACCTTCAAGGCATAGAACCTCAACACAATTGCTTGATCATGGTGTTGTTTGGTGAAATTTGTGTTAAGGCTCTGTCGACCTAGGCCTAACAAAAAAATTTACTAACAATATAGAAAATAAACTTCCATATATAAAACCTGTGAAAGCACAACAATTCATATGATCTACACCAAGAAAATTCCAGTCTTTCTGTCGTACCTTTGTCGCTAATTATAAAATTAGCGATGAAGCCCATGGAAGTCAAGTATAGAAATTTTTCTCATGAAGAAATTTTTATCATAATCAATCATTTTCTGTAATTTATTGAAGTCGGGAATAAGTAGAAAAAATTTGATTACCCACCTTGACAGTAGCCAACATCTGAATCAAACCAGGCATAGACAGCCAGAATATCCCAAAGCTTTGACAAATTTTCTTGCTTCTCAAAGAAAACCAGTGTCCTGTCAGTGCGAACTACATCCAGACCTAGCATAAATATTAATCCAAGCATGACAAATTATAACAAATTGAAAATTTTCAACTACAAAAACTATTGAACTATAAGAGTGCTGTTTCAAATTGGCGCAAAAGATTTTCAAGTTAATACTACAATTTTCAATGCAATGTGCTAGTAAACGTAAATAAAGAAGAAGCCAGGTTGAAGGGATGTTGAAACCCACAACTCTTGTCTAACTCAAAGGGCATTTCCGCGTACACAAATGGAGCTTGAGATCACATACATGATGTGAAGATAAATCATGTAATGTCAATATTCAGTACCTCATTCATGAAAAACAAGTATGCATGGTTTAAGGCTACAGAACATGAGAATAGATGAGGCTACAGAAAATGGACTCAACAATAGGAAATAATCTAAAAGAATAAAAAATAAATAGAAGGAAAATGTGCATTCAATTTAACGTGTTTCAGCAACCTATTTGATGTAGTGTAAGTTTCCACTGGATTATTTTCTTGTCCACCTCTTTCACCATCCCTGAACTGTAAGAAGTACCTGTATTTGAATGATTTAAGACATTAGTATGTGATGAATAGCCAGTTGCAGGCTTGAAGTTGTTGGCATTACCATTTTCTTGAGAAAGTGAAGCCATTCCATTATCTGCTTGTTGTGTTTGCTGAAGCACTATAGGATCTAGAATAGGATCACCATCTTCAGTAATTATGGGTGCAGTGACAAACCTACCACTTCCAACAAGGTGAAAATTTTGGCGGCACTCTTCTTTCAAAACAGCATATTGTGCCCTGAAGGTGCAAGAACAAGAAGCAGTTACAATCTGAGCTAAGGTCCATAAAAGGGAATAAGGTGTTTCAACAATTTAAAGGAAGAAACTACTTTAGGGAAACACAAAGGACTAGTGTACATGAATCATTTCACTCAGTAACATAACAATCTAACGCAAAGTACTGTTTTAAATAATTTTTTAAATTGAATCCACCTTTTTACAATCTTATGAGTTGGTTTGCATTTAATGACTTTTGTGATGTATTTTCAAACAGCATTAGGAAAAGGAAACAAAATAAGGTAGTTCTATAACTATAAATTATAAGTTTGAGAAACTGCAACTGCTAAAATATGAAAAAGTAAAAACTCAAAAGTGTTTGGCCAAAATGTCCCTGCCTGTCCCAAACCAACAAAAATTAGAAGTAGTTGACCAAAATAGGAAGAAAAGAGGCAACTAAATGAAGGATAACTGCAAGATGAGACAAAGTAAAGTATACACATTCTTAATTGAATGCACAAAAATTCACAATGGACAGACCAGCCAGGTGTAGGGGAAGTACAATAATTTATGGTTTCATTACTCAGATGTTCATATTAACCAGCATGGTGGAATCCGGCAGTTCCAATTCTGTTCAATAAACTTTTTTATCGCAAAAAGTCAAATGATGCTACCAAAGGTTTGCTTTGTGTCTCTATTGCCAGTACCCTCGATTAATGGAAACCAACGCTGGGAAATGTCCTTCCCGATGCCATTCAAAATATCATCATAACTCATACAATAATTATCATATAGGGAACGCTGCTAAAAAATATAATTCCAACTTCTCATAGCTGGCCGCAATTGGATCCACCATAAAAGCTGAGATCCTAGTTTCTCTAAAGGCCTTCAGGAAGTCTTTTCTATAGGGGATTTCTATTTGCATGATCCAATGTGACTTGGGTCCAAGCCTGCTTGGTGGCTCTTAGACCTATTCATATTTTATTTGGAAGCCTTTAGATGTTGCTTTGAAGCATAGATCAAGTGGTATACCAGAACAATGAATAAAAGAACTGATTTCCTGCCTAAATAACGGAGATATTATGATAACTTTTTAGATGGCACGTTTAACCCCTTGTAACTCGTGAAGAAGATTCAGGTTGAGTTTGTGGGGGGATACACACTATCCTTTCGTTGCACTTGATCTGATTTCAACATTCTACTGATAAAAAATTCTTATCCTTCATTTTTATAGCCTTGCACCCATTTATTTATGCAGAGGCATTTGTAGTTGTATTGTGATGAAGAAAATACAAATATTTCAAAGTGCTATAAGGGCAAGATCAAATTAACTAGGGTACATAAATACCCATCTTAATCATGCAACAATAATTGAAGCCTTTCAAATATATTGGACCACATGTAAAGGGTTGGAACCAGCAATTTGATCTTGCCTACTAGATCTACAAAACTAGGATCAAAAGGACATTAACATCATAACTATATCACCAATTTGAATGCTCCAACATTCTTTTGGAAAGACTAAATGGTCTAGAAAGACCTAGAGTCAATGACAAATGTTCCCATGATGTCCAACAGCAGGCGTTAATATACATGAAAGTGAAGCAGGGAAAGCCAACTACCTTCGACGGTTCCGTGTTTGCTCTCGTTCATCAAATGTACTCTTAGGATCATAACAGCCAAGTAGAAACTCCCAAACTTCTCCTCTAATTAATGGATGGATCCCCTAATTTCATCACCAATACATGATGATAAGTTTTAACCCTCAAAATCAATGATATTATTTCTGAAAAAAGACATTTATGAGAAGTGAAGGATGTATCAAAAGAAGAAACACTGAAGAGCAGATTGCATTACATATCTAAATAGTTCATTGTAAAATAAATTGATAGAGAGAGAATTACAGAGAATAAATTATATGTATTATGATTGATATTATTGATTGATGTTTTTGAATGTATACAATGACTCTCCTATATATAGAAGAGAAAAACATACTCACCTACCACACTCAACTCTCACCTAACACACTTACATCTACCTAACACACTCAACTCTCACCTAACACACTCAACTCTACCTACCACACTTACCTACCACACTTACAGCCCCCCTCAAACTCAAGGAGGATAGATACTAACCAACTTGAGTTTGGAGAGAGTAACAAAACAGGAAAGTAAACTGATAAATAAAATAAAACAGGATAGGAGACACGGTATGATCGTGTCAGACCGTTGTAGGAGACACTTATAGTCGTGTCACACCGTTGGAGAAGATAATGTCTGGACAGTTTACGAGGTCATGTCGGACCGCTGTAGAAGACAGTTTATGGGGTTATGTCGGACCGATGTATAAGACAGTTTATGGGGTCATGTCGGACCGTTGTAGAAGACAGTTTACGTGGTCATGTCGGACCGTTGTAGCAGACACTGTGTGGGCGTGTCAGACCGATGTAGAAGACAGTTTACGGGGTCATGTCGGACCGATGTAGAAGACACTGTATGAGTGTGTATATAGGCTGCCCAAAAGATATACATGTAGATATATATATCGAGCCCTCAAAAGTCGCGCCCTCAAAAGTCGCGCCCACTTCATCAAAAGTCGTGCCCAATTTTTCAAAATGCGTGCCATCAAAAGACGTGCCCAATCCATAAAAAGGCGTGCCATCAAAAGGCGCGCCCATGTTGTCGTCGAGCGCCGAGCGGCGCATGATGCGCGTGTCTGCCTTGGCTATTTAACCAAGGTTGAGGCAGAGGCTGTGCAAACCAGTCTGAAACCGCCGAACATTTGCATTCTGAAATACTCTGTAAACACTCTGTAACCAATCCTTCTCTGAAACACTCAGCAACCCATAACATGGCCTCGTCTTCCCGTTCAGCTACCCAGAATATGGCCTCTTCGTCCCGTGGTCTGCTCACTCTCTTTCCCGACCTCAACGAGTCAACAAGAGAGATAACTGGTGCGGTGGCCAGTGAACCTCAACCAAGCGCCTCTGGTTTTGCTCCGTTGAACTTTCCGATGCGGTCGGTGGAGCAAAAAATGGCGATGCAAACTGATATTGAGGCCAATCAGTATACTTTGAAGTCATGTGTGGAAACCATGACTGCGGTCACAAACTTGTCGCACCGGCTGCAGAGTAGGACAAATGAGGTGCAGCAGTTAAACGCCCAACTGGCTCTGCTCCAACGCATGTATAAGGATGCGCAAGCAGAGATAAGTGTGCTAAAGACGGAAAATAAGGAGCTGAAGCGGAAGGCCACCGTGATTTGGTTTATAATTTAGGTGAGAAGTGGTGAAAAATTTAGAGAAATAGAACTCATTTATGTAATAGGTTGTGTATTTTTTTTAATAATACCGAGATTGCTCAGTAAATAAAAAAAGAAAAGAAAAGAAAAAGAAATACCATTCATATCCCTATATCACATACATTGTTTTCTTACTCATCCAAACATGATAGTGAGAAATCACAATCATTTCTACTCTTTTTCACCAAGATGAGAGACGAAAGTCATTTTTCTTTTCTTTTCTCACCCCATGATCGAAACACGGAGTGTTAATGTCAGATCTTTCTCAACAGGGGTACTAATAGATGGACTTTGGGAGTTTTCTTGATGTTTCAATCAGGCCCTCTTTGCATCTTTATAAATATTGGATGGGTAAAAGAATGCCATTTTTGTATTTAAGATCATTTACAAACATCCTCTTCTCCTATTCCCCAGATGCTTAACAAAGAACATGAAAAAGCTGAGGATTTGAAGCCTGCTCCCGTCCCAGCCAGCACTTGAAGTTGATTGGATTTTACTGGATTTCACACATGATAGAGCTCAAGGTGAAGCTTCCGGGGAGGAGGGGAATCTGTCCTACTCTGATGCTTCTCATTGATGAGAATTTTTGAATTTTTCATGTTGCAGCCAGAGACCATAGGTCTCCACAGGTCTCCATTCTTGAGATTCATCGCTGCTGTTGATTCATTATCAGGTGGTGAATTTTAATTTGCTTACCGGTCAATGTACCATGTTTAATGGCTGCAAAAATAATATCTTCTAATGATTGTTTTGTTCAGCATCTTGTCTCCTCTCCATCATCTTTATTGACCACAGCATTTTATTTTGTGCTTCATTCTGAGGATATGTTCTTTCAGTTATCAGTTGAACTATAAAGATCTATGTCAATTTGGAGCAATGAGATCTGTGAGGAAGAATCTGTCCCTACATGTTTCCCGTGGCACAATTACAAGTGTCCGACAAGACTCTGTAAACTGTCCCGACATAGATTCCGGTTAGCTCCTTTATGGGTCCGACAAGACTCTGTAAACTGTCCCGACATTAATTTCGGTTAGCTCCTTCATGGGTCCGACAAGACTTTGTAAACTGTCCCGACATTGATTCCGGTTAGCTCTTTCATGGGTCCGACAAGACTTTGTAAACTGTCCCGACATTGATTCCGGTTAGCTCCTTTATGGGTCTGACAAGACTCTGTAAACTGTCCCGACATTGATTCCGGTTAGCTCCTTTAAGGGTCCGACAAGACTCTGTAAACTGTCCCGACATTAATTCCGGTTAGCTCCTTCATGGGTCAGATTAGCTACAGCATTTTTTGGCCCATCATGGCAGGTAGATCAACCTCAGCAGAAGGAAACTTCACACCGTGGTTGGCGAATGAGTGCAAGGCTTCATGGCACATGTGGGAGGAATGAAGAAGAGCCTTGGAAGGAAATTTAATGTATAAAGAGAAATAGAGGACACTGTATGGTGGTGTCAGACCGATGTAGAAGACAGTTTATGGGGTCATGTCGGACCGTTGTAGAAGACAACGTTATGACACCCCATACAGTGTCTTCACCAACGGTCTGACACGACCATACAGTGTCTCCTATCTTTTTTTATTTTTATGTATTTTTTTGTTTTGTTCCTCTCTTCAACCTACCACACTCAACTCTCACCTAACACACTCAACTCTACCTACCACACTTACCTACCACACTTACATTCATTTTCATGCCTTTAATGCAGATTTTGGATTTTAAAGAATGGAATGGCAAGGGAAGGTTCAAATTATCACTGTTACCAAGCCCAGTTAGGCACTACATTGATTGTATACATAATAATGATGGCAGTGGTGCTGGCAGCTGCTGTGTAAAGACGATGGAAATCTGAGATTGGAATGCAAAAATTGACAGAACCATGTAATCTAAAACCAAAATATGAGTGACATGCAGTTCAGGCTAATTGATTAAGATGGATTTTAAGTAGAATATACTCAAATTTACTGGTCATCAATGTTAGCTTTTAGGTTATTGTCTTATGCCCACTCTTCCCTTCCGAGTAAAAATACAGTGCCACATTAAAACTCAACATGACTGTCTGACAAAAAAATAAAGACATACCACAGATCAAGTAGACTAAGAAGTAGTAACATTAATTACTTCCAATAAGGGTATAACCCTGAGAAGCATATTGCTTTTCATATGCTTATGTGCAAAATATACACTTACATCAGTTCTGAACCATGGAGATGAAAACTTACCCCGCGTTGGATTCGACCAAGTGTCCTGCCTATATCGAGATAACCTTCTGGAGAAAATGCAGCCTGCCATTTTCGCACACTAAGAGTTTTGCCAGCCTGATGGAAAGATTAGAAATCAATGAAGGCATTAAAAACTGCAACATAGAATTGGGACAAAAAGCAGAGCCCAAATCAAAATGAATCGCTAGAAGTGACTCTTGATTCTTACATCATATACTATGATTTTGTGTCATATCAAGTATCATTGTCGAAGCTTATATAAGAAAAATAAATAAATAAATCCTAGAGCAAAGGATAATTTAATAGATCACCAACCAATGATTTCTTCCACCAGCCAGGATTCTAGCCATCAAAGTAAAACAAAAACTACTAACAACCACCAACAACCCTTTTTTGTCATCAGATTGCTTGCTTTGCTCAAGCTATACCAAAATACATAACTTGTTTCCAAGTTCCAATTAGGCATAAGGCAAACCAACTAATAGTCAAAAGCAAGAGAAGAATGATCACTACCCTTTTGGACTTTTTCCATAAGTTACAAAAACAATACATGCATATAAATCAGTAGCCATCTTACCACAGGTCCACAGCTGGTATTTATGCAGCAAGTTGTGATGAGCAATGCACTGGGTTCAAAAATCTATATTTTTTTTTTTCAGCAAGTTCAAAATTTGTTTTTTCTGTTAGTTCAAAAATTGTCTTCGCCCACTCATTATTATGTAATCCATTTCCTTCAGAGAGAAAGAGTTCAAAACTAGTCCTCACCGTTTCTCATAAATTAATGCAATCTTATCTTACAAAATCACTCCTCTAGAAAGTTAATACTCACAATTTCTAGAAAAGGGAATGTATAGTCCTTTCCTCTTATCTGTGTCTGCTGGGCACAGTAAAAAGAGAAGAAGTAGACAATTGTTTTTATACACTGCTCAAGTGTGTTCTCCACTTCCTCTCTAGTTCCTAGATCTAGAGGTGATGGAGGAAAAGTATCTGGTCAGTGCTTTTCTTGCTGCCATGTATTCAGCTCAGAGAGAGTTCTAAACCTCAATTTCCAGCATAATTTTCATTGACCTCATCAAAAACTTAAAAAACACCTTTAGCTCTTATATATGAATTTTAGATGTGTATGAACCCCCCACTTATCAAGAAGAAGAAGAAGAAAGGAACTCCTCAGCCCAGTCATTAAGGCAATTTTGAGGTCAATTGAAATTAGTGATCTATTTAATTTCCAGACCTAATCTCAAAAACTTTCCTGCATTATAATTTAGATACATGGACACATTTATGGTGTTTGCTCTGTTTCTGAAGCCTCTCATGTAATCAAAGATGTTAGTCAAACCCATATCCTTCTAAATATTTTCAACTTCCTCTTTGTTTCAATGTTACATATAATCAACAATATATTGATAATGAACAGACCAATATCACAATCCAGAATGGTCAAGTAATATAAGCAAAAGTCCCAACAATCTAGTGCTTTAATTATTAAATCCAAATATAAAAAAAGCAACAATGTGGACTAGATTCTGAACAATATTGATTGAAATTCAGCAATTAACAATCATGGGTATGTCAAAGAAAACAATTAGGGTTTGAAGAATTAACAAACCTTGATTTTGAATGTGGTTTTGGGAACATCGGTGCATTCGGGCCTAACCTCATAGAAAGAATCAGCAGGAGTTCCAGCATCCCTCCACATTTTCGAAAAACCACAAAACACCTAAAGAAATCAATACCCACCTGAGTTAGCCCAATCAAACCCTAACCCTGTACGCACCTTGAGCTGAATCCCCAGAACAAAAGATCAAAAACCCAGATCAGATTTCACACAAACAATCAAAAGGGACCCAGATCAGGTGCTGCTGCCTCGAAGAAAACGATTCAGACAACGCATTCAAAAAAAGAAACGCACAAGTTTTTTTGTATTAGCATTTGTTTATATGTTTTTGTTGTTGCTGGGTCTGAGATTGGAATGGGTCAATTTGACAAAGTATGGTGAACCCATCACTCAAGACACCAAACGACGACCGTTTAATACGTTAATAATTTAATTGACATTGACATTGACGTGGTTCGTTGTTTGTTGTGTTGTGTCTTTCTCTCTCTAGATACCGTTATTGTAGTCAAATATATATCTGTATGTATGTATATATGATATGTTTTAGTTGGAATTTTTGATCGGGGGTAGTAGTTAAAACTTTAAACTAAGATTTGGTATTGGGGGGTTTGGGAAGAAGAGTGAGAGACAGAGCGTGAAATGCGTGCAATCAACAGATTTGGTATCCACTCGCCTTCATTCCCGGGAGCTTCCTGCCACTTGCAATGAAACCCAGAGATGAGAGGGAGAGAGAGAGAGATTATTGACTCATCCACACTGTATTGGAGTTGTCAGCTTGATGGACCCTGTTCACCATCTCATCAGGGTTGAGTTTCGATTTCACCCATCAATTTCTTTTTCTAGTAAAACATGCTTCATTGATTTCTTTTTTTCTTTTTTTCTTTTTTTTTTTCTGTGAGTTACAAATTTTATTTTTAATTAAATTATTATTAAGAATAGACCGTTTTTTACTACACACCCACCAGCTACCCACAACCACCCCCACCAACTACTTTTCCATCCATCGTTGCCTCCCAAACCTAGCTTCCACCATTCAGCCTTTATTTCTCCTACTATCCCATAGTACATAATTTTCCTATCTCGCCTATTGTCCCTCAATAGATTGTGTATACCACCCACCTTCAAATCCTATTTATTCTATCTTTCTCGCCATTTAGACTATTTTGAGAAGTGGGTTATAATCCACTTATCAGATTATAATCTACTTCCTCTTTCACAAAAAAAACTGTTTATAAGCTGTTTATAAACAATTTTTCATCAATAAATTGATTATAACCATCTTCTCAAAATAGTCCTGAGTGAACTATTGTCATTCTATCAGCTACTAAATTAATAATATTTAGAAATCAACCATTGAATTTATTTAAGATTTAGAGATAGGCATTTGTGGTGGATTAGAGTCCCAGAAGGATGGTTTCATGGCAAATAGGTTTGATAAGAAAAGAAGATAGCCACATAAGGGAGAAGAGGAAGAGGTATAAAGCAACAACTAAGGTCTCGTTTAGCATGTGATTTTTTTAATTAAAAAGTTAATAATTTATACTAAAAAATTAAAAATTTTATTTTTTCTCTACCTTTTACATATTTTTTTGTAAAAAGTTAAAAAATTATCTCAAATATACTAATTTTTTTATATCATATTTTAATCAATAAGTCAAAAAATTACTAAAAAAATCTGTTTCCAAACAAAGCCTAAGATTTCGAAGGAAAGGGTGGCGGTGATGGTAGAAGCTAGAAAGGTCTAGGGTAAGGGAGAGTGAGTCTGGGTAGGAATTGAGAGTGAATGTTTTATTTTTTATTTTTTTTTCCCCTTAAAATGGACAAATTACATATAAATTATTAATTGTAATTTGCTATGCTTAAAATAAAGGATTTACCATAAATCATAATGTTAACATGTCAGCTAAAATCTTTATATCGTAAAATACGTATTATTACAATCTTTTAAAAAAAATTATAAAATACATATTGTTAAAATTAGGGATGGCAATTTGAACCCGGCCTGACGGGGACCCGACCCCCCGTCCCCGATACGAGCGGTTTTTTCCTGAAAAATACTCCCGACGGGCCGGGAATGGTATTTAAAATTGAAACCCCGATCAATTTCGGAGCGGGGATGGGGATAGCTATAACATCCCCGAACCTGGCCCAGCCCCGCCCCCGCCCCCGGTTCTCCCCTGAAATGAAATTACCCTCGTACCCCCTTTATTCATTCACATATGCATCCCCTCCCTTATCCCTATGTCCTCCGATCTGTCCATTCTCGCATTCACTCTTCTCTCTACTCTCTACTCTCTACTCTCTCTACTCTCTCACTCACTCCTCTACCCAGTGGCGATCCGAGTGCGATCTCCTCTCTCCAGTGGCGACGGCGTCATCTCCTCTCCCCAGTGGTGACGGCGAGTGCGATCTCCTCTCCCCAGTGGCGACGGCGTCATCTCCTCCTCCGTGGCAGTACGCACACCCTCGCCTCTTCCTTCTCCGTCACCTCCTTCTCTTCCTCCGCGCCACCGCCGAACCTTCATACTTCCGCTTCGGTTCCAACCACGACAGATCTGAGTAGATCCTATCTCCTCCGCACCACCGCAGATCTTACATCTTAGATCTGAGAAGATTAGATCCCGCCATTTATGTACATACATGTATGTGTGTGTCACTGTGTGTAATCTGTAATCCGTCTCCATATTATTATTAATTTTTTTTTTTTTTTGTGTTTGATGATGTTGCCGTTTGATGATGAAAATTGGGTTGATGATTTATTATTGAGAGTGAGAGAAAGCTAAACAGAGAGAGAAGGGAGCTATGGGGATTTTCCGGTGTCGGGGAAACCCGATCCCCATTGGGGGCGGAGGTGGGGGGTTGATGGATTCCCCGTCGAGGATCGGGGACGGGAACGGAGAGTTTTGTAACTTCGGGGATCAGGAACGGGGAGTGCAATCCCCGGCCCAACCCCGCCCCGTTGCCATTCCTAGTTAAAATCTTTTGCCATGGTGATATTCATGGAGGTTTGAGTTGCTCATGATCTTCATTTGCAAGCCACATGCCACACGCACACACAAAAAAAAAATAATGTACTGATTAATCAGGTGACTTTTCAAGGTTTCTCACTTTAACTTTTTGGTTGGAAGTTGAAACATGTTCTTTCCATCATCAACATCCATGTGCATTATGGATTATTGTATATAGTTATTTCCCTTTCCTTTCCAGATTGTACTTAAAACTAAAGCTTATAAATAAATTAAAATATTAGAAAAAAGGTTAGTTTATTAAGGACATTCTTAGTTTTTTTTTCTTAATACTTATTAAAGTGATTGAAGTGGGAATTTTGAACCCCAAAAAAAAAAAAAAAATTAAAGAACTTTTTTTTTTTAAAGGCTAATAAATTGGCTTGGCTATTAAGCTACATTGAAACGAAGCCCACCGATCGACAAGCCACTACTGGACTCATGAGAATTTGACGATCCGAGGCACAATAATGGGCTTTAGGCACAATAAGGGAAATATACGAATTAGACTAAGCCTTCGTTTGGAATGTAAGTTAACTTTTTAATTATTTTAGTTTGAGATTAAAAAGTTTCATTTGAAATAGGTTTTTTAAATTTTATGAGAGAAAAAATAAAATAATTATAATTTGAATGTGATACTTTACCTTATTAAGTTAAAAATTTTATTTTGTCTAATGTGACTAAAGTCCAAAGTGTTTTCTAAAGCAATACTATGGGCTTAGGCCCATTGAAGGAAAGATACGAAGTTGAGGAGTAATGCTATTTGAAGCAATATTACGGGCTTAGGCCCAATGAGGAAAATGGAGATTTTTGTATTCGGTCCATAAATTCAAGGAGAATTTGGTCAAAATTTTCTTGTAATAAAACTTTAATACATTAAAGTGGGTGTTTAAGAAGTGACTTTTTTTTAAGTTTTTTAGTCTTTTGGTTATTTTAATTTTTGTGTTTGGAGAGTTGGGTTAAATTTTTGGATTGATTGTTGTATTGAAAAATGTATTTGAAATGATGTTTAAGGTTGAAATGACAAATTTGCCCCTCACCATACTTTTTCCAAAATTGATCTACAGGGGCAAAATAGTCATTTAACTGTCTGTGGAATGACAATGGTAGCCTCAGCCTACACTATGTTGGTAACAGTGTAGGTTGTCTGTGCTGCTGACAGCCGTTGCTTTTCTTTTTTAATCAATGGGTTAGGCGGGGCAATTTGAGGCTAAAATAGCCTGTCTAAAATTTTTCTTGAAAAGTTCTACACATATTATTATTATCAAAATATTAAATTTTAAAATAATATTACTTTTGATGTAAATATCGATTTTTTAATAAAATTAGTATTTTTAAAATTCTCTCACCAAGATCTATCAAATAAAATCTATGTTGACTATGAAATTCTTAAAAAAAATAAAAAATAAAAAAAATTATTACTGTCGAAGTTCATATAAACAGTATCATGTTAATATTATTCTATTTGGCAGTTACTATGTCTCACGTTAACATATTACTCTAACAATATTATCTAAGAAAAAAAAATATTTTTTATTTTGTCCTTACTCAAATACTCAAAATATATTTTTTCTTTAAGAAATTGATGAAATAAAATAAATTCGGCTATTTTCTTTACTAAAAAGGGTCCAATGAAAGATTTTAACTAAACTTCTCCAAATTGAACTCGGAATTTTCTTTTGTCCAAAACTACTTTATCACAGGAATGTATATATAATATATATTTTTTCAAACCAAAACCCTATTCAGACCTCTCTCTCTCTCTCTCTTTCCTCTGCTCCCTTTCTCAGAGATCCAAAAAGAGATCCAAAGAGAGCTCTGTGCTCTGAGATCACTCCTTCGAGGCCTCTTTGGATGGTGAAGCGTCACTCCCAAATCCATCAGCCTGTCACGCAGTGATCCAAAGAGAGCTCTGTGCTCTGAGATCGCCACCGTTTCACTTCTTCGTCGCCGTCGCCACTGCCGTCACTATCTTCACTCCTCCGTCGCTAACCGTTGATATCTCCCCGGTATCAAAAGAGTTTTGTTTTCTTCATTTTCTTCTCTAGGGTTTTAATCGATGCCAAAAATTTGAAACCTCTGAGCCCTCTGAAAAGGGAGAGGAGAGAGAGGAAGAAATGGATTTGAAAAAACGCTTGATGATTGCTTGTTAATTGGCCATGGAAGTCCTAGATCTGAGTTGTTTATATATATGGACAAAAGAATGTATGTAGATGGTTTAATGGAGAGAGAGTAATTGCAAACCCAGGGTTAAAGGGTTCTTGGGTGGGTTGGGTTTGATCTCTGGATTAAAGAGAAGCATCAAGTGCAGAGGGTATGGAATTCGAAGTGAACTAAAGTGGTGTTGAAAAAGCTCTAATTTCTGCACAAATTTTTATATCTGTAGAGTATATTTGTGTGTTGGTGCTGGAGAATTTCAACAGATAGGGGGAAAAAATTGTGAATTTCAAACAGATAGGAATGGGCTTTCAAATCTGAGTTTAACAGATAAAAAAAATTAAACAGATAGTTTCAACAGAAGAATTGTTGAACATTCAAATCTGAGTTTAACAGATAAAAAAGTTAAACAGAGTTTCAACAGATAAGAACAGATAGATTTTATTTGGCCATGTATTTGAATCGATAAGAGAAATTTGAACTGAAAAGATACAAAAATTGAACAGATAAGGTAAAAAAATTGAACAAATAGTCACAATAAACAGAAAAAATAAAGGATAAAATTAAAAATAAAAATAAAAAATGTCTTCTAAAATAATAAAATTTACTTCTCACACTAATATTTCACAAAAGATAAACTTCTCACTAAAGAAAAATTATGAGACCTAATGTCTTATATCCTTCTTTAATTGGATTTTTTAACAATTTTTTTTTAAAAAAAAAAAACTAAAAACAAATAATATTTCTGGGAGAATTAAAGAGAAGTTTTTGTCAAAATTTAGTAATCTATCAATTTTTTTTTGCTCATAAGACTTTGATTTTTAAATTTGAGGAGAATTTGAGGAGGAAAAGGAAAAGAGAATAAAAAAGGCAGCTATTTTATTGAATTTTTATTTTCTTTTACAAATCTCTTTTAATAATTTAACTAGTGCATTTTGTTGAGTTAGCTGAAAAAATCATAGTTGTTTTTTTTTTAAAAAAAAATTAATATTTAGTTTTTAAAATCAATTTAATTTTTTTACATAAATGATTTATTCGATAAGTTTTACAAAATGAATCATTCGCATCATTAAAGAGTACCTGATTGAACTCCCTTAAGGGCACAACCTTGAGGCACAGAGAACTATGTACTCTTGATAATATGAGTAATTCCACGAATTCACACATTTATTCCACAAATCCATCCATAATGATATGGAAAGAGAGTGAAACCTTATATTGTTATACGTATATAACCAGTGGTGGACTACATAAGGACGGGAGGTGTCCATGGCCCTTGTCCCAAGTTTTTCAAAATTTCAATATCAACTCTATATTTTAAGAATATTTATAGAATGTATAAGAGTAATGTTAGGGATCATGAAAAATATATCATGAAATACATCATGAAAATTTTTCATCCCTTGATTAGTCTTGATTAGTGTGTGGTGTTTTATTGTATGGGTAATCCAAAGGTTGAGAATCTTTCATGATAATATTCATGATATATTTTTCATGATCCCTAGCATTACTAAATGTATAATAGATAGCTTCTAATTTTATTAAAATTACTTTACTAGCTATTTATTTTATCAATTTTTCATAATGTATAATGAAATGATCTTCCAATTTTGTCACATGTCATTTAATAATATCAATTTCATTGAGATGATTTTATTTACACAAGAGGTACATATTCTACATTTATCATTTTCTTTGAATTTTAAAAAATTAAAGAGGTATATATATATTTTTTTATTTACTAAATTATGCCAATCAACAAAATAACTTAAAAGCATAGTCTGATCAATTATATACTGTGATGTAGTTAATAATTCAAAATTTCATAAAAGAATAAAAAATAACTTGTTAGATTTATTTAATTTTCTCATTAAATACTTATTTTGTGACCCTTATATAAAAAATGATCTTTAGTTAATAATGTACCAAAGTTAACTCAAATTTTTTTATGCACATCTTGGCCCTCCCTTGACAAAATTTCTGATTCTGCCCCTATGTATAACAAATCAAAATTTGACACATGTAATATCACATCATTGTGGGTACAACCAAGAAGAATGAGAAGTATAAAACAAAAGAGTCAGTTCATATATACTTAAATCACAGACAAATATATTTGAAAAAAAAAGAAAAAAAACTGTACATATTAGCCCAAAAAGTAATGAGAATACATCCGAGGGGTCTCATTATGCTGGCATGTACATTCTAAATACTTTTCTGTATTAATTATGCATATATATAGACTAACTTGAAACAGAAACTTAACCATGAAAATTGTTTCTTCAAACAGACTGAACTTTGAAGCAGATTCGGCTAGAGTGGCATTTGTCATATGAACACACAACCTTCTATATAAGAATTATATGTACAATATTATCTAACCCAAAGCACAAGATATGAATATTCTTCATAATAGTCAAGCAAAGTATATGTAGCAACCCAGAATAAGTAATCAAGAAGGTTTAAAAAGAGCTCTGTGTAGAATGAGCCCATATACTTGGGACTGGAGGCCAAGAAATCCAAAGGAAGAAGAATATATATAACACAAAAAGGAGCAAAGGCTTCACAACCACAAAAGTTTATGCAAATTGGCCTACAAAAACCTTAATCATCAACCCCATTGTTATCTACTCATTAACTTCATTCCCATTTCAAGCTTTCTGGTTTTTGGCCCTCCATTTTCTTCTGTTCCAATGGCCAAGAACATTTCAAGATTGAATCATAATAACTACAAAGCATTTCATGTTTTGGGGCTTTTTAGTCTTTTGCTGTTGATCCAGAAAGGTGGTGCATATCAGTTCAAGGTTGGTGATTCAAATGGTTGGACACTCCCTACTGATTATAGTGCTCTCAACTATGATAAATGGGCACAAAAAAACAGATTTCAAGTCGGAGACACTCTACGTAAGTTGAACATTTTATCATATCCATTTCACAAGTATTCTCTCGTGCAGGGAAAATAATACATGTTACTGGATGAATTTTATTTGATTTTTCACTTATTTTCTAAATATGGTATAAAACATGGAGATGTGTCGTTTGTTGTGTACATCCATGTAAGAAGTGAGATAAACAACAAAATTCATCTGGTGATACATAGTAGGCTCCCACGATCTAGTGTTAAAAACAGTGAAATTCATCTAGTGATGCGTCGTAGACTCTCACGATCTAGTGCTTCATGCAGGAAATATGATATGTGCTATGAATTTTTTCAGATTTTTCATTTATTTTTTAAATATGGTAGATTTTACATGTACACTTCATTTGTTGTGTGTATCTACATAAAAAGTGAGATAAACAGTGAAATTCATCTGATGATACATAGTAATAGTAGCCCTATTTGCATACTATAATATCAGCAGGCATTGAAAGATCATGATCAATGGGATCCTATTGTTTTACAAGATCTACTGTTTTTTGTTTATTGTAGTGTTCGTCTACCCAGCAGACAAAGACTCAATGTTTGAAGTAAACTGCGATGACTACAGAAACTGCAACACAGCAAACCCCATTGCAAAACACAGTGACGGCCACACAGTGTTCAAGTTCAGCCAATCCGGGCCATTCTACTTCATAAGTGGAGTCAAAGACAACTGTCTCAAGAAAGAGAAGTTGCATGTGATTGTCATGGCAGATCGAACCAACAACCAAACCACCGTTGCTTCTCCTCCACCTTCAGGATCATCAACGAAAACTCCCGCTCCAGCCCCCGCTCATCAGGAGCCTCCCTCTCCACCCCCGGCACCAGTACCGATGACCCCATCTCCGGCTCCTTCTACTTATCAGACCCCTCCTCCGAGTGGTTCAGTAGAGATAAACCCATCTCCCGCTCCTGCCGCTGATCAGACGCCTTCTAAAAAGAGTGGTGCATCTTCCATTGTCATGAGTTTTATTGGTTCCATTGGAGCTATTCTGGGTTCATCTCTTCTTTTGGCTTTCTAACTCAGTGATTTAAAGTAAGAGTTGGATTGAACTTACTTGTTTTTTTGTTTTTTGATTGCTCGTGATTTTTTTCACCTTGATTTCAGTGGGTTCATCTGGGTCTTCAAGGTCGATTTGTATTTGATATTTGTTGTTTGATATAGTTAAGGAATAAGCTGAGTTTGTGTATACTCTTGGTTAATTATATCGTTACCATGTAAAAACAACCTATAAAAGGAAATAAATTGGTTTTGTGACATATGTGTTTATGCGTTTTTTTAATGCATTCTTTGATGTGTAATAAGATGCATCACCATTGAATTTTGACTAATACTATACAAGTAAAAAATATATATAAAAATTGTATACGGAATTATGAGACTAATTAATCAGGAGTAATCACTTTAAAACAAACTACCCACCAAATCATTCTAAAGGAGATCCATAAACAAAAATTATGTAGGTAGTTTTTCCCGTAAATTTTAGATAAGCCAATTATCGATCCATAAAATTTTATCTTTTACCTTCACACACTCCTCTTTCTTTTTTCTTTTTTTTCTTTTTTTGATTTTTCATAAAGATAAGTCACTCATTTTGCTTTTTAATAAACTCAAATATGGACACTATGTATGGGTGGACTATAAATCAGTGGAACAAAACAAAGTTGAGTATCAGAGTTCTTTTTATTTTTTATTTTTATAATTTAATTTGAAATATAAATAATTTTAAAATTGCCTTCCAAATCAATCTCAATCAAACTTCAATTGAAAGGTAAGATTTATATCTATATATATACAAGAGTGTTTTGAAAAGCTGGTTAAAAGTTATTTTTTTTTATTTTTTTTATCTTTTAATGAGTAAGAAATATGAGAGATGATGTGACCCAAAATGAGTTAAAAGTCAAAACAGTCTTAAACTGTTTACTACTAGCTTAGCAAACCAAGTTTCATCAAACCAAACTTTAAGAATTAATCACTATGTTTGATTTTCGTTTTTTAAACTCAGTTTTTTGAAAATTTTAAAGTATTTGTTTGGTTATTCGAAAATGAGTTCACTTTTCAAAATAATATGTTAAGGATTTTGAGAGACAATTTTGAAAATGATATGTTAAAGACTTTTCAAATTGAAGTTTCTCTCCAATTTGAGAGTAAATTTTGAAAAAAAAAATTGGTCACATGAAAAAGTACTCTCATCTTATATATATATATATATATATATATGTATGTATGTATGTATAAAAACATAATTTAGTATGTATCTATTTATGGGTATATATCCTACTATTAAATATGTGATTTTATCATAAAATTTCCACTTATTTCAACTATAGAAAACGTAAAAAAAAAAAATCAAATTTGCATTAAAAAATTTCTTTCGTAAAATTAAATTTTTATAATTGTTATACAGAAAAATTTGTAAATCGTAAATTTAAACATAAATCTACGATTTTGTAAGTGGATTTAAATATAAATTTACAATTTTATAAATAAATTTGTAAACAGATTTACGATTTTGTAAATAAATTTAAACATAAATTTACAAATTTTTTTAATGCCAATTTATAAAAAAATCACGTTTTCTAAAAATTACGTTTTTCAAAAATTTGTAAATAAATTTACGTTTTCCGAAAATTTGTAAAAAATTATGTTTTTCACAAATTTGTAAATAAATTTATGTTTTCCAAAAATATGTAAATAAATATCCAAAAACGATTTTTTTATGCGAATTTGTAAATAAATTTTGTACATGACATTTATGAAAATTTAATTTTACGAAAGAAATTTTTTAATGCCAATTTGGAAGAAAAATTTATGTTTTCTATGTTTGAAATGAGTAGAAATTTTATGATAAAGCCACATAATTAATGGTAGGATATGTATCTATAAATGGGTACATACCAAATTATGTTTTCATACATATATAACTAAGAAGAAAATATTTTTTGATGTGACAAATTTTTTTTTTAATTGTATCTCTCCTTAAATTGAAGAAAAACTTAAAATTACAATAATATATATTTTTTAAAATCAAACAAAGATTCTTTTTCAAAATAGAATTTTCAAATCACTAAATAGTAAATAGAACCAAACATAGTGAATGAGTTTCAACCATTTAGCTTAATTATACATGGAATAACTTTTTCACGGTTCAGCCGTGAAAGTTCTATTTTACGGAGACCCGCCTATTTTTTATACACATAAAAAATAAAAACCAACATCCAATAAAAAATAAAAAAATAAAATACCCAAAACCACCACCGACCAACATCCACAAAAAACCCAACATAAAATGAAAAAGAAAAGCAAAGTAAAAACAAAGATTGACAAAATGAAGTGAAATTCAACCCAGGATCTTGCATTGTTAACTCAAAAAATTTAATTTGAATCTAATCTCATCCAGAAATAAAATCAAATACATAATTCTGAATTTAATCACGATACTTATGTTTAGTGCGCAATCATCATTGATTCTTATCTCGTTGTCGCTGATTTTCTGGTTATCACCATCAACGTCTATGAGCCAAACGGGTTGTCAATCTTTTATGCTGTGTTTGGTTGGGGGATTTGGGAAGGGAAATGGAAAGGGAAATGGAAATGAAAGGAAAAGAAGAAAGAATTAATAGAATTTCAAATCCCAACTATGTTTGGTTGTGTTGCATGGGGTTTACATGGGACGGACGACAAGGAGTTTGGAAAGGATTGTGAGGTTGAAGGAATGAGGCTGAGGACGATGACCATGACGAGGGGGAGGTTGCAATAGGTGGCGGTGGGAGTTGTTGGTTTCCGATCACCATGACAGGGCAGAGGACAGGAGGAAAAAAGAAAAGAGAGAAGAAAATAATCACTTGAGGCACACAAAAGTAAAATATTTAAGCCTGCGTTTGGTTGTATTTTGTAACAACAATAATTCATCCCACTAAAAACATTACTACTAATAGTACTAATATATTAAAAAAATAAAAAATAAAACAAAAAAAATACAACTCCAAAACCAAAACATCACATCATTAATGGCGGGACCCACTGTCACCTAATTAGTGGGTTAGTGCTCCCAAGCATTTTTCAACAATGATTCATCTCCCCTTTTCCTCCCACCTCCTTTGACCCCCTCTCTCTCTCATTGGTTACATTTTCTTTTTCTTTTTCTTTTTCTTTTTTTTCCTGCTCCTCCAATCACCACTCGCCACGTGGCAAAGGGGGGTGAGGGGGTGACCCCCAAAAGGGGGTCCCAAACATTATTCTTTTTCATTTTGTAAATGTGATTTGAGAGTATGAGTTGTATTTTGAGTTTGTGTGTAGTGGAATTATGATTTGAGTGTAGAAAATTTGTTTGGTAAAGAGTTTTGAAAAAAAATTTGATTTGAATGGCGAATTGTTGATGTGACATTTGATATGTGATACAGAAATTTACAACTTATAACTAAACATACAACTCAAAATTATTTTAAAACACATAAAAAATTTTAAAATTTTCAAAAAATATTTTTTTCAATTATATAAATCAATTGCAAAAAAAAAAATTACTGTTCCGGACAGCCGGCCGGTCAACCAGTCGAACGACCGATCGGACGTCCCGCCAAGCAAGATTTTTCCAAACAAAAGGAAAAACGCGTCTGTCAAAAACAGAACAACACAGGTGTTCTGTCCAAAGTTTTCAAAACATCATTTAAGAATCACAACCAAACACCATACTTAAATTAAAGTGTGAAATTGGGATTTGAAATCACAACCAAATAGAGCCTAAGATATGAATAAATGTGGCTTCGTGGCACTCCTAGTTGGCTGTCCATAAGCCATTTCGTTCACGGGACAGCCCTGAAATATGCAAGTTGAATTATATAATGTGATGTGATGATAGCTCGAAATGAGCATTTGGTGAGACAAACATGAACTACTAGCCCCAAATGGAACAAATTTTAAATTGGTCAATTATGGCAAGTTATATCCATCCTAACATGCAAAAAGAGAGACGAAAACAAAGAAATAAAGAAAATGACCGAAGAAAATATTGAACAGAAAGGAATCTATGCATGCACAGCGGAGATTGGCAACTGAATTAGCTAACAATTTTCATTTCTTATTATTTCCCTACTCATTCATTAAATTTTAAGAGTTGTTTGAAGTGTCTTAAATAAGTGCATTTTTTATTTTTTGAATAAAAAAGTTGAGAAAAAAAAAATGGTTGTTTAAAATAATTTTTTGACTTTTTATAAAAAAATATGTATTAAAAAAATTATATAAATTTTTGTATAGGAAAAGATTGGATGAATTAGGCTGGGCAATAGGCTGAATTGAGGGACAGCATTGGGAGATGATTCCCTGCATTTCGGGCATTGAATTGGAGGTACTGTTCGGCCCGTGGGGGCTCACCATGGATCCCGTTCTGCTAATCAAAACCGTTCAATATGTAGAACTCGCCGAATACTATATTCTTGTAAAAAATCACGTTGATTAGATATCGATAACTATCTAATCCCATTAGTTTGTTTTTAACCGTTAACTATGACACCATCCATTTTATAAATTTTAACTGATTTAATGATATAGTTACCGATATCTAATCAATGTGATTTTTTACAGGCATATAGTACTCGACGATTTCTACACATTGAACGGTTCAAATTATTAAAAAGAAACCCGTGATGGCCCCTACAGGCCGAACAATACCGTGTTATCCGTACACCTAAATAAGTGCAATTTTCCCACAAGTCAGCTCCTCTGCTCTACTGTCAGAGTTGTTTGATAAGGAATGTTGTGTAAAATTTTTTAATATTTTTTTGGATGAATAGTGATAGTTTTTTAACTTTTTAATTTTTTTTAAGAGTTATTTAGGGTGTCCTAAATAAGTGTATTTTTTATCTTTTTGGATTAAAAAGATAAAAAAAAGATGGATGTTTGGATTAATTTTTTATCTTTTTATGAAAAAATGTGTAATAAAAAATTATATAAATAAAGTGTGTAGTAAAAGATTAATTATTTATTGTACAGCTGCCTCGGCTGCCCAGCATGTGCATACAAAAAATAAATAATCACCTCCTTCGGGACAAATAACTTTTGAATACTGATGATCAATCCGTGGGGGCCATCATGGGTCCCATTTTAATAATCTGAACCGTTCAATATGTACAATTCGTCGAGTATTATATGTCTGTAAAAAATCACGTTGATCAGATATTGATAACTATATGATCAGATTAATTTTTTTTCAACAGTTAACACACACACATGTAAGTATAACTAACCGTGAAAACACCACCAA